TTGTCACTTTAATTAAAGTGTCTTCCAACTAGTATATGAACTTCAAGAAGGCAGTGGTTTTCATCTGTTTTATTCACATATGTTTTGTTGACAGCTTGCATGGAGCAAGCATGACATACTGTTTAAGGGATGGGTGGATGGTGGAAGTATATCATGGAAGATGATGAGAGATATGAGCTTGAAGGAGATGATTACTGGTGAAAATTAAGAGTTGGATTTCGAGCTGGGCATTGGTGGCACACACACACACCTTTAATCCCAGCACTTGGGAGGCAGAGGCAGGTGGATCTCTGTGAGTTCGAGGCCAGCCTGGTCTACAGAGAGAGTTCCAGGACAGGCTCCAAAGCACTACAAAGAAACCCTGTCTTCACACACACACACACACACACACACACACACACACACACACACACACACACGAGTTGGATCTCATGAGTTAAGTGATCCATTCTCCTTGCGTCTGTCCAGTCCCCATCAATATGCTTTAAGGACTCATGTAACAGGCTTTCTTGGACAGACATCTCCCAACTTGTGACATTGAGACGTATCATTAGTTATGAATGCTTGGTCTTTTCTTATGCTTCTCCCACTAGCTCTTGTAACTTAATTTAACCTGTTTCTCTTCATCTACATTTTGCCTCAGGGCCTTTTACCTTTCATTCTCTATGTCCTGTTGGGTTTTTTTTTTTTTTTTTCTGCTACAGTCTTTTTCTGGCTGTCTGGCTGATGCCTGGCTGGTCCCAGTTATCTCCTTCTCTTTCTCCCTTGTTCTCTTCTCTCTAGAGCCTAGATTCCTCCTCCTACTTCTTCTCTCTTCCTGCCAGCCCCACCTATCCCCTCCCTACCTAGCTATTGGCTGTTTAGCTTTTCATTAGACCAATCAGGTGCCTTAGGCAGACAGGGTAAAATATATATGCAATACATCTTTACATAGTTAAAGCAATATTCTACAACATAAACAAATGTAACACATCTTTAGATAAAGTAATATTCCACAAGAGAATTTTTTAGATGCTGGAGAGATAGCTCAGCAATTAGGAGTTCTTGTCCCACTGGCAATGGTGGCACAGGCCTTAAATCCCAGCGCTCAGGAGGCAGAGGCAAGTGGATCTCTGTGAGTTTGAGGCCAGCTTGGTCTACAGAGTTCTAGGACAGCCCGGGCTGTTAACACAGAGAAACCCTCTCTTGAAAAACCAAAGAGTACCTGATGCTCTTGCAGATAATCCAGGTTTGATTCCCAGCACCCACATGGGTAGCTTATAACCATCTGTAAACCCAGTTCCAGAAATCCAACACCCTCTTCTGACCTCCTCAAGCATCAAGCACACATGGAGTGAGGGCAAAAAAAATTCACACAGATGTAAAATAAAAATAAATCAATTCTTTAAATTTTATTTATTTATTTAATCATCTTTTACAGTCCTGGGGGTTGGCTCTAAGGCCTTCTGCATGACAGACCAATATTCTGTCCTTGAATTATATCCCAAGCCCTCAGTATTTTGACACAGGGCCTCTCTACTTGTCTCACTCAGGCTGGGCCTTGAACATTTTTAAAAACTGATTTATTTTTATTTTATGGGCATTTGTGTTTTGCCTGCATGTATGCCTGTGTGAGGATGCCAGATTTCCTGGAATTGGAGTCACCAACAGCTGTGAGCCAACATGTGGGTGCTGGGAATCAAATGAGCTCTTAACTGCTGAACATTTTCTTTATCCCAATTTTTTTTTAAAGAATGTCTTTCACCTGGAACTCACTGTGTAGACCTGACTGGTCTTAAACTCAGAGATGTACCTGTCTCTGTTTCCTGAGTGCTGGGATTAAAAGTGTGTGCCACCATGCCCTGCTTAGGCCTTGAACTCTTATTGTAAAAATATTTATGTATATTTTTTTCTTCCTCCATGGATTTTTTTTAACATTTTATTTATTATGTAAACAACATTCTGCCTCCATCTATGCCTGCATGCCAGAAGGTGGCACCAGATCTCATTAAGGATGGCTGTAAGCCACCATGTGGTTGCTAGGAATAGAACTCAGGACCTCTGGAAGAGCAGCCAGTGCTCTTAACCTCTGAGCCATCTCTCCAGCCCCTTTATGTTAATTTTTAAAAAACAATCTTTTTTATTTTTCACACCAATCCCAGTTCCCCCTATTTTCTTATTTTTTTTTCAGACTTAATTCACTTTTTCTTGTATAAAACCCCTTATGTGATGGCAACAGCTGGAGTCTGGGTCCTCTGAACAGAGACTCTGGTATGGGCTTTCACAAGATGGTCAGTGAATTCCTGATAAGGAGACTTGGTGAACACAGTCTCTTTCCAGAGGTCAGGGGTCAGGTAGCTGTAGGTCTTGGAGATGGCATCAAAGGTGACCTTGGCAAAGTAGCCCAGGGTGGCAGTGCAGTCCCTGGCTGATGTGTAGCAGTCATCAGTAGCTTCTTGGGCACAGGAGCAGAGACGATACCAGTGCCTCTGGGGGCAGGGATGAGACGCACCAACACAGAGCCACAGCGGCCTGTCACTTTGCATGGAACAGTGTGGGGCTTGCCAATCTTGTTCCCCCAGTAGCCTCTCCTCACAGGGACAATGGAAAGCTTGGCCAAGATGATGGCCCCTAGGATAGCTGTGGCTACCTCCTTGGAGCACTTAACACCAAGACCAACATGACCGTTGCAGTCCCCAATAGCGACAAAAGCCTTGAACCTGGCCTGCTGGCCAGCCCTTGTCTGTTTCTGTACTGGCATGATCTTTAGAACCTCATCCTTAAGAGAGGCTCCTAAGAGGGAGCTGGAGAAATGGCTCAGAGGTTAGGAGCACTGGCTGCTCTCCCACAGATTCTGAGTTCAATTCCCAGCAACCACATGGTGCCTCACAACCATTTCTAATGAGATCTGGTCCCCTCTTGTGGCTTGGAGGCAGAACACTGTATACATAACAAATAAATAAATCTTAAAAAAAAAAAAAAAGAGAGAGAGAGAGATGCCCCCAAGAAAAAGTCAATAATCTCGGATTCCTTAATGGGCAGAGAGAAAAGGTAGATCTCCTCCAGGGACTTGATCTTCATGTCCTTAACCAGGCGGCCCAGCTTGGTGACAGGGACCCACTCCTTGTCTTCAGCTTTACCTCCACAAGACCCACGGCCTCGACCACGACCGACCTTGGCCCCTGAGACCGCTGCGGAAGCCTCCGCATCCTGGGCCCCGGGTCCTCCGGGCCCTCCCACTGCACTGGCTTCATCCGCCATTTGGTGTTTTCCCGAAGTAGAAGCCTGTAGGTCAGAAAAGGGCACCAGATCTCATGACAGGTGGTTGTGAGCCACCATGTGGTTACTGGGAATTGAACTCAGGACCTCTGAAAGATGAGTCAGTGCTCTTAACCACTGAGCCATCTCTCCAGCCCTATGCTTGTTTTTTAAAGATTATTTTTTATATGAATGAATGTTTTGCCTGTATCTGTGTCTATTCACTGCTTGCTTCATGCCACAGAGACCAAAAAAAAAAGGGGGGGGTGGGGGGGATGAATCTATTAAAACTGGAGTTACAGACCACAGTGAGCTGCTATGTGGGTGCGGGGAATTGAACTTGGGTCCTCTGTTAAAGGAGCCTGTGCTCTTAATTGCTCAGCCATCTCTTTGACCCCCTACTCCATGCTTAGCTTTTTATTGATTTAGAGTTGTTTCTGACAGTGCTCAGGATTGATCCCACCACCTCGTGAATGGGAGATGCTTTTCCAATACACTATCCCTAGCCCTCATTTCTTTTCATTGCTGAGAAGGGTTCCATGGTACAGTTATGACATAGTTATGTCTCAGTGTGCTTACTAACCTATCCGATGGAAAGGGTGAAAGAAGTTCCATTGCGGGGATGTTATCAAGACGTTAAATATTTAACCCTGGTAGAAGAGTTTTACGCATACTCTTTGTAAAGATTAAATCATGGGCTGGGTATGCAGCTCAGTAATGCAGCCCATGCTTTTCATATCTGAGGGCTAGAGAGAACTCAGCTGTAAAGGGCTTTTGTTGCTCTTACAGAGGACCTGGTTTTGGTTTCCAGGACCTACATGGTGTCTCATAACTGCCTGTAACCCCAGTTCCAGGGGATTCAATGTCCTCTTCTGGTCTCCACAGGTACCAGGCACACACATGTAGGCAAAACACTCATACACATAAAATAAAAACAAAAAAAAATTCTTTTGAAACAGGGTTTCTCTGTGTAGCACTGCCTGTCTAGATCTTGCTCTGTAGACCAGGCCAACCTTGAACTCAGAAACCTGCCTGCCTCTGCCTCCTAAATGCCAGGATTAAAGGGGTGCATTCACCACCACCACCTGGCTCTTCTAACTCTTCTTAACTTCTTTCTGTTATTTATTATTTGACAGAGTCTCTTGGCTGAACTTTATGTAGACCACCACCACCCGGCTTTTCTATCTCTTCTTCTTTCTATTTATTTATTCATTCCTTTATTTCTCTCTCTTTCACCATCTATCTATCTATCTATCTATCTATCTATCTATCTATCTATCTAATCTCTATCTATTGACAGAATCTCTTGGCTGAACTGGAACTCTATATGTAGACTGGCTGTGCTGGAATTAAAGTAATGTACCACTACTTCCCGGCTTTAAAATATAATTTTAAGAATGGTTAAAGTCTCTGGGCAGTGGTGGTGCACACCTTTAATCCCAGCACTCAGGAGGCAGAGGCCTTCGAGGTCAGCCTGGTCTACAAAATGAGTTCTGGGACAGCCAGGTCTGTTAACACACAGAAACCCTGTCTCATAAAACAAACAAACAAAAAATAAACAAACAAAAAAGTGGCTGAAGTCTAAGTCTTAGTTAGGCCACCAAATGACTAGGTAGCCTTAGACAAATCACGTCCTCAACGGTCAAATTCAGCTGTAACACCAAATTATGAATGTTTGTATTGCCTGTTGATTCGCCAAACGAAATAGTTTGGTCTTCTTGGCTCACCGTAGACCCAGCCTCCAGAGCAGTCATAGGCTCCGCCCCCTGCGCTCCGGACGGCGCGAAAACCCAATTGACAAGAAGTCTCACCGAAGCCCAAGGCCTGATCAGCGTTCCGTGTGCAGCGCCCACTGCGGCCCGGGGCTCGAACGCTGAGCCTGGAGCGCCTGCCTCGGGGGCATTGTGCATTGTCCAGCCTTCCCCGCTGGGCCTGCGCCTGCACTTTCTCGACTACGCCTGGCTGGACGGCCCTGGGCCCAGCCTCGCACTCGCGTCCGTCCGGTGGGCTCTGGGGGACCCGCGACGGACCCCGCGGCCCCGCAGCTTGCTCCGATTGGACCTGTCGCCTCCATGGCCTCCAGCCAGGCTGGGCCGGACCGCTGGAGGTCCTAGGATCCGTGGCTTTGTTAGGCAGGGATCATGGTGGGGGTCCTGACCATGGCGGCGGCTGCAGCTCCCGGTCCAGTAAAGGACTACGAGATTGAGGTGAGCTCGAGGATCTGTCAAGTTCTTTTCTGTCTGTGTCGGGGAATTGTGGCGTGGGGTTGGTGGGCGTCCTGCTTGCTCCTGGAACGGGAAAGGAGTGATGTGATGTTACCCAGATATAATTTTGTGTGGGATGGTTGCCTCGGTGTGTCGTGCTAAGCACTAATTGGAAATCTCAGAAATTTTCGGGCTTGCTGTAAGCTCAAGTTTTAAAAAACCACTGTTCCCGGGTCCTGAAACATTAATGGAATAACATGTCACCGAGGATCTCAGACTCAAATTCTTTGTGCATGATGTGGAATCATAGAACAGTGAGAAAAGATAAAAAAAAGCTTTAAGTTCATCTAGTCGGTACAAACGCACATCTGTCCTAGGAATTCCATTTAGAATGTCACTTAAGAATTAAGTGAGGTACTTAAGTCGGTTTCTCATTGCTGCGGAGCTTAATGTAGTTAAGAGTTTCAGTAACATGTTAGGTATTCTGTATTTACCATATTTCAGACAATACACTAAGCTGGGGACAGTGTTTAATGTGGGGAGCCCTGGGTTACAGAAAGAAATAAAAATACTCTAAGCAACCATAATGATATTCTATGCCATTAAGTAGTGGTTAGGATCTTAAAGTACATGGCTGATATGTATATGTAGATAGAAAAATACCCAAGCTGGATTCGGACCTACTGATTCTCCTGTATCACTTTCCAAATGTTGGGATCACAAGCTTGTGCATCTTCATAGCTGCTATGTTTTGTTTATACACCATAGGTCAGACTAGCATCCTAATTAATGTGTTCCGGGGCCTTTGAAGTGAGCTAAGATGTGTGTTCACTTCAATTCTAACTCTTTGTTTTGTTTTTTGAGACAGGGTTTCTCTGTATAGTTCTGTCTGTCTTGGAATTCATTCTATAGATCAGGCTGGCTTAGACTCAAAAGAGATTCTCCTGCCTCTGCCACCTGAGTGCTGGGATTGAAGGCTCTCGCCACTTTCTCAGGCTTGTTTTTCTTTCTTGTTACATTGGTGAATTTACATTTGTTTTTGGTGGTGTGGAGATCACAGGACAACTTATAGGAGTCAGTTCTCTCACTGTCTTTTGCCTATTAATTTGAATGTCAGTTTTACCACTTAAATTCTTTCTAAAAGTAATTTAGCTACATTTGTTTATTTATTGTATTGCAGGGGTGAGCATATGTGTGGAGGTCAGAGGGCAACTTGTGGGAAGAGGTATCCCTTGTTACCATGGTCCTGGGAATCAAACTAGGTCCTAACTCTGCTTGGCAGCAAATACCTTTGCCTGATGGGCCCTGTCAAGGACCCCTGTATGAATTCTTATACAGCCTTGTCTGCTTTTGCTTTTCAGACACACTCCATTGAGCTTCTTGCCTACTTGTGCAGCATCATTGCTATGCTTTTAACCACAATAGCTTTGTTAATTCATTTGAATTTTCTAAAAATGAAAATCTCGTCCTTATTACTTATCTTTAAAAACAATGTCTTTGTTATTTTGGCAGATATATACATATACATTTTTCAAATGAACTGAGAAGTTAGATTGATAGTAGGATGGAAATATAGCTCAGGGGTAAGGTTCAGTGAAGCAAAAGACAGAAAAAAGTTAGGGCTAGAGAAGTAGCTCAGTTGGCAGAGTGCTTATACCAGCAGGGAGTGGGGTGTGTATGGAAACTAATGGAGTTGTTTGCTTGTTTGTTAATTTATTTATTAGACAGTCCCATTAGATATATAGACCAGACAGACTGGCCTTGAACTCAGAGATGTCTGCCTATCTCTGCCTCCTGAATGCTGTGATTAAAGGCATGTGTGACCGTGCACAGCAAATAATTATTTTGTGACCAATATAGTAGTATGCATTTTTAGTTATGCAAGTTACTGGTACATTTATTAACTCATTTTCATCATTTTGGTTTTATATACATATGTCTTAGTCACTGTTTTATTTGCTATGAAGAGATACCATGACGAAGGCAGCTTATTTTTTAATTTAAAAAAAATTAGTTTTCATTTTACATACCAACCCCATTCCCCCCTTCCTCCATTTCTCTCCCCACCCCAAGGCAACTATTAAAAGAAAACCATTTAATTGAGGTTTACTTACAGTTTCAGAGGTTTAGTCCATTATCATGCAGGAGCATACTCACAATGCTTGGAGCAGTAGCTGAGACTACATCCTGACATGCAGACCAAGGGAGAGGGAGACTGAGCCTGGCATGGGAGTTTGAAAATATCAAGGCTCACCCCGCCCACCCCCCTCCCTCACTGCTGCCAGTGACACACTTTCTCCAACAAGGCCACATCTTCTAATTCTTAAATAGTGTCACTTTCTGATTACTAAGAATTCAAATATATGTGCTTATAGGGCCATTCTTGTTCAAACCACCACAACACATTTGCTTAATTTAGTGAATTTCTAGGCCAGGTTTAAGGGTCTTTATAAGTAGTATATGTTATTTATCCTTGTTTCTTTGAGTTCTCATCCTGAAGTCCATGCTGACCTGGAACTCTGTGCAACCTAGGAGGGCTTCCAGTTCCCTATAGCCCTCCTGCCCCAGCTTCCAAGGTACTGGGATTATGGGTGTACGTCACCATGCCCAGCTTTTGTTTATACTTGAAATGTACAATACACGTAGAAACGGACTGAGAAATAATGTCCTTTTAAATTCACCTTGAGCTTCTGATGCTTCTGCCTCTATCTCCTCAGTGATGGAGTTGCAGGCATGTGCCACCATGCTTGGTTTTACTTAGTGGTGGGAACCAAATCCAGGATTTTGTGCATACCTAGGTACAACCTAGTTATGGCAATGAAAATCATTTTTTTTAATAATAGTTTTTCTTAATAGTATCACCTGGCTCATGATTGTCTACCTTGGGCTTTATGCTCTCTTCCTAGCAGCCAGTGTCTTGCCCAGTTTTCATTAGCCATACCTGGGTTCATTGTAATCTCTGGTTAGCCTGGATGCAAGTAGCATTGCTGACTGAAAGTGACTAATACGAATGTAACTGTCCTTAGTGTTATAATCTCCTTGATTCTGTGAGGGTACGCAGGAGGTATGCAGTGACTTATAGTAGCAAAACAGTAGACTTGTGGCAAGTGTTCTTTTGTTGGTTCTGTGCTTCTTAAATAAGTCACTATTTCTTAGAGATACTTGGGATGATGTGTTTATTTTTAACCAAAAAAGTAAAGCAGAACGAATTGTTTGTAGGAACCCTACCCTGTGTTAGGCTCCACATATTTTAATGTATGCAGTATAGATTCTGTGAGGTAGATGGTGCTATTCTAAGGTTATAGAGGGTAGGTAGGGCATGGTGATTGACACCTGTAGTCTCAGCATTTGGGGGGTAGAGGCAGACATAGTGAGTTCTAGGACAGCTGGGGCTACATAGAAACATACTTTCTCAAAAACACAAACTAAAGTAAAATAATCAGAGGACAGTAGAAATTTGTGTTTTCTTATGAGTTTAGTTTTATTTCAATGTAAATTTTTTTTTTGTTTGTTTTGTTTTGTTTTGTTTTGTTTGTTTGAACTACAGTCTCACTATAGTCCCTGGCCTGGAGCTTGCTATGCAGACCAGGCTGTCTTCAAAATCATAGAGATCAGTCTCAGATTTCTGAGTGCTGATCAATATAAACTTTGTTGTTGTTTTTTGTTTATTTGTTTTTGAGGCAAGGTCTGACTATCTGTCCAGTGGCCCTGACTGGCCTGGAACTCTCTCTGTTGACCAAGCTGGCCTCCAGCTTATAGACTCCTAAATACTGGGATTAAAGGCATAAACCACCACACCTAGCAATATAAACTTTTTATTGAAGTATAGTGGTGTAAAGTATAAAAATTACACATGTAACTTGTTATAACATTAAATTTTGAATGTAGGTTTAACATTAAAGGTCATTTTCTTTCTAATGTTTCTTTTTTTTTTTAACCTAAAGTAGCCTTGGTATATAGCTCAGTTCAAATCCCCAGCAAGTCAGATATGGCTGTACAGGCCTATAACTCCAGTGTTATGGGGAAGCAAAGACAGGAAGATTGCTGGTCACCAAGCTAGCTCCAGGTATCATGAGAAAACCTACAAGGAAATAAGTGATAGAGCATGACACCTGACACCCTTCTCCAGCCTCTGCATGCATCCTCCTTATGTACACGTGTATGCATGCATCACACACATCTTGTATGTATACACACAAATAAAATAGCTGTTCAGAGTTTTTCTCTCCATTTATTTGCACTGTTAAATTTGTGTTTACAGTTACTATTTCATATTATTTTACTTGAAATAAATGTGTTTTTCCCTCCTTTTTTTAAAATTGCTAGCCATGTAAAAAGCGGAGAAAAGATGATGACGGCTCTTCCTGTGAAACCATTACCAAATATTTATTACCAATAGAGAAGACTGGAGACAAAGTCTTCTCTCCACCAAAACCCAGTAACATTCTTCATTATTTTAGAAAGACTTCACCCACAAATGAGAAGCTACAGTTGACAAAGGAGTGCAAGATAAAGCCATCTCCCTCTTTGCTTGTTGGCAATAGCAAAGAGTCTAAGACAACTTTGGAAGTGCTCTCAAATATGGAACTTAAGAAGAAAGGAAAGAGAGTTAATTTATCTCATCGGCTGAATGATATGAAAATTGAATCTCCAGTTGAAGTTAGTAGTGGTGATCATAAGGAAGACTGCAGTTTAAGTGATTTTGTGGAAACTGATGTTTTCCTTTACAAGAGACATGTAGAGGTTCTTGAAGAAAGCAGTCAGGACAGCAGAAACCAGCCCAATACAATGACCTCCAAAAGAAACTCCCAGAAAGGAAATCCTAAACAAGGCATCACAAAAAATGATGGCAAAAGATTGAGAAAAAGGAAGCACAGCAAGATACTAGATCTGTCTGAAAGTTTACCCTTGACAGATGAAATAAGCCTTCATAAGAAAGGTGGTAAAGACAGTAAACAGACCAAACCTTCCCAGGCCAATGAAAACGAGAGGACGACAAATCATGTAGACTCCAGGGCTTGTACAACCAAAATAGCTGATTTAAACAAGAGTACAATAACTGTCTCCTATGAGGAATTTTTAAAAAGTCACAAGGCAGCTAGAGTGGAAGAGATACCTGACCCTGTGATGCCAGCCTGTGTTACTTCTGGACCTGGTGAAGCGTTCAAAAGTGGTTTTGAAGGTGAATCAGAAAGCTGTGAAGTATCTCCACAGGTACACCTTAAGACAGTTACTGTTCTTGCACAAGTTCACCCCACTCCCCCCAAAAAGAAAGGGAAAATACCCTCAATTTTTTTGAAACAGAAACAGCTTGAGCTTGAAAGTAGCTTCTCTGATCCAGAAAATGAGCAGACAGTTCAGAAAAGGAAATCGAATGTTGTGATCCAGGAGGGACATTTAGAACTGGCTGTGCTGGAAGCCGGGAGCTCTGAGGCTTCAGTACCGAAATGCAGCATGGAAGAGAGACAGCAGTTCATGAGAGCATTCAGACAGCCACCATCAGAACTGCTTAAAAATGGGCTCAAGAAACCTGTGGAGAAGCAGAAAGACACAAGTGAAAAATCTGTAAACGAAGAAGGAGATAACAGTTCTGAAAAAATCATAGAAAATCCTAATATCCAAATGATTTCAAAGCATGCCAGTTCACAGACACACACTGATAAAGCAAGTTTTCCTAAAGAGAAAAGTAAAAAGCTGAAGAAAAAGGATAAGAAAATGATAGTCACTAGGACCATCCCAGGTGGAAGCAGAGAAGAAACCATGCAAAAGGAACAAACATCCTTTTCCTCAAAAGATAAACAAAAGCAAAATAGCCTTCGAAGGAGTTTAAGGCATAAGTCTGAAGTATTCAAAAGCAATTCCTTACCTAACAGTGAAAGTCTTGTTTGTGAAGATATAGCACATGACTCTTTAAAAAAGTCTCTGTGTGACAGAAATAAATCAAGAAAACACAGCACACCAACCAGGGATATGGTTACACACTCCAAAGCTGATCCTGAAAACAGGCTGGTAAACGTTTCCACACCCAAATCAACCAGGAGATCTCTAAGAGGCAGCAGCACACTTGCCACAGTCACCCTTGGAGGTTCTGAGTCTGAGGATGCCCAGGACACTACTCCAGTGAAGGCTTCTACTCCAAAAGCAGCCAGCATGTCTGAAAAACACAGCCTGTACACAGCAGAATTAATAACAATACCCTCTGATTCAGAGAGCCCCATTAGGTAAAGTTTTGTTTTTCTTCTCAAGTTGGAACATTCTACATGTATTCTTAATTGGGAAGGGAAATTCTTCAAGCATTGAAGAGTTCATTTATTTTCTAGAATACAGTTTAGTTATAAATATGTGTGTTTTTTTATATGTTTACAAACCTGAGAACTGAATCTCAGGTAAGTGGTCTACCACTGAGCTACATTCCCATCTTCTTTATTTTGAGACAAGGTCTCCTAGGTTGCCCAGGCTGGTCTTGATTTTCAGCCAGGTCTTAAACATGCTCACCTTCTCTGTACTTTTCCAAGTGGCTGGGATGACAGATTTGTGCCACCAACCTTGTTTTTTGGGTTGTTTTGTTTTTGTTTTTCAAGATAGAGTTTCTCTATCTTGGTTGTCCTGGAACTCACTCTGTAGACCAGGCTGGCCTCAAAGTCACAGAGATCTGCCTGCATCTGCTTCCCGAATGCTGGGATTAAAGACCTATGCCACCACTGCCCATCTAGTACTAAACTCTTCGTTCTGTTTTATTTTTTTTGAGCTAAGATTTCTTCGTGTAGCTTTGGAGCCTCTTTTGGCACTCTGTAGACCAGGTTGGCCTTGTATTTATAAAGGTTCACCTATCTCTGCCTCCCAAGTACTGGGAGTAAGGCATATACCACCACCACCACCCAGATTAGTACTAAACTCTTATTTGTCATAGTTGAGTAGTAGTCCTCAAATATAAGTGCATCAAATATGTGATTAAAAATAAATCATCAGAGTGTTTTTTTGTTGTTAGTTTTTGTTGTTGTTTTGAAACAGGAATTCTCTGTGTGTCTTGGCTGTCCTGGAACTCTATGTAGACCAGTCTGACCTCCAACTCAAAGAGATTCCCTTTCCTCTGTGTCTGTGGTGCTGAGATTAAAGACATGTGCCACCATGCCTAGCTGAGTGTTACTCCTTAGGTAAACTGACCAGTCAGTGCATGATGGAGTATATTCCTGAATGCTGGGCCTGTCTAATGGAATAGCGATCCAGGGACTAGTTTTAATTTTCTTCAGGAAGTATTTTTCTCTGTTTGTTTTTACTGTGCTGAGTGAGGCTTAAGCTCAGGGCTTTTGCTCATGCTAGCTATGTAGGCTTATCTCCCCTCCTTTCTTTTCTTTTCCTCTTTCTATCCCTCTTTCTTTTTTTTCTTTCTTTTTTTTTTTTTTTTTTTTTTTTTTTTTTTTTGATTTTTAAGACAGGGTCTTCCTTGGATAGCCTGGAACTTGCTATAGAGACAAAGCTATAGTGTGAGTGATCCTTCTGCCTCTGGTTCCCAAGTGCTTGAATTTTAGGTGTGTTATCACTGTAGTTGAACCTTTTCTTCAGGACTGCTGGCTCCCCAATGACATGGAGACTTATTATTAATTATGAAAGCTTGGCTGGTAGCTTAGGCTTGTCCCACTAGTTCTTAAAACTTAAATTAACCCATTTCTACTTACCTATGTGTTGCCATGTGATTGGTGGCATTTACCTACCCTCCTTTGCAGCTGGCTGACAATTCCCTGTGTCTCTGCCCTTCTTCCCAGTGTCTTTTCTACTCTGAAAATCCTGCCAAGCTATTGGCTATTCAGCTTTTTATTAAACCAATCTGAGTGACAAATCTTTACAGTGTAAAAAAGATTGTTTCACAGCATTTCCCCCTTTTGTCTCAATAAAAAGAAAAAGTTTTAATGCTAACATAATAAAACTATAAACAAGAAAAATTGTCAGGTAAGAATTATATTATGTCCAGTCCATTTGTTTTTGGCATATTTGGGGAAAACACTCCATTATTTATTCTATCTTGATGAGTCCAAAGCTCTGTACTTAATTTACCTTCTATCATAACTAAGGAAAACTATGACTGTCTACTCTTCAACTCCATCAAAAAACCATAGAAGGAACCTTAGTAAACAGGAAGTGCAGAATAAGCAATTCTGAAACTATACAAATGACAGAAACGGCTGGTTGCCTGACAGTCACCTAAGCTTCCTCTGCAACATTGGTTGAATCCATCTTCAGCCTATAGGTCTAGAATATCTGACAGACTTTTCTGTGAAGCAGGAATTTTTGAAGGACTGTCATACCCTGTCTTGGCAAAGTTTGGCAGTCACTTTTCTTTGTATCCTGCTGGTCCTATTTGGATACCATATTGTCAGAAGTCAAGGCAAGGGCAGTTTCTTGCCCAAATGGCTAGTTTTTGCCATAAAGAATGCAAATGCCACGTGGAGCTTCTTAGATGCCCATCATACTTTTTTTTTTTTTTTTTTAAGTAGATTGGTACTGTCAGGAGCAGGTACATCTCATTGTCATGCAAAGTCTTACATTATTAAAACATTATTAAATGCTGTATCCTGTACATCTCTGAAGTGTTGATGACTACGTGTCTATCTAAAATATATTTTTGTTTGATCTTGAAAATGTATCTAACATGAGACTACATGTTTGATTGTTATAGGGGAGTAACTACTAGCCTGCATTGTTTTTATTATCCCTAATAGTTTGTAATAACGTTCAAGGACTAGAAATTTACATTACATTGTTAAAATGAGCTCTATAGGTACAATACCTTAAACAAGAGTAGAAATGTATATATAGTATGCTAAAAAAAACCTTAAATTTGTATCAGTATACAAAATAACTTAAACAAGAGTAGAAACATATGTACAGTATAACAAAGATAATCTTAAATTTATATCAACATGCAAAAACCCATACCAATGTAAAATATTTAAGACTAAGTTGCTTTTTTAGTTTAGAAGTAGATTCAATAATCTACCCTTTTATCCTATCATTTCTATATTCCTTTTTTTTCTTTTCAGAATGAGATCCCTGAATCTAATTTCTTTTTCTTAGTTTTTTCCTGACCATTAGCAGTAACAATTTGTCACTAACTCCCCTAAATGATGATAAATATCCATAACCCATTGTTTGACCAAATACCATCCCCCTCACTTTTGGGAACATGTGCATTGTGTTCTCTAGGTTGTTTCCTGTTGTCTGGGGCTATTGGTATCTTTAGTGGACCCTGGGAAAGTGGGGATAATGGTCAAATCCTGGGAGAGCTAACTTGTCCAGTCTCTGTCTAATGGAAAATTGTAAGGCTTATCTGAAGTCCCAGCTGGAGAAGTCCTTGAGGCTGGGCTATCTCAGCCAGCCATCTTGAAGCTATTCCAGATGCAGAACTCTGAGGAACCTGCAACAGAGACATTGAGAGGCTGGATCACCTGGGTTACCCATTTTCATTGGTGTCTGGTCTCCTTGCTCTGAAAACACATAAATTTTCAAGGGTAACACACATATCTGTATTAACACAAGTACAGAATGTATAGTGTATACATGTCAATTAAATTGATTTTTTGTTTTATGTTTGAGCAGGTAAAAGGCATCTGTCAACTTTTTAAGTCTGTTTGGACTGTATAATCAAACTGTATTATAAATCTATCTATGTCATATGAAAGGATGACATGTATTAATAAGTCATGAGAAACAAAAACATAACATCTCCCGGAATGCAGCACATTGACTTCCATTTTGAAGTTAAGACATTTTCAAAATGTTGGTTTAATTTAGCAGTGTCCATACTTCAGTGTCTCTCAGCAGCTATTGTTTTTTGTACATTAGCATTTAAAAAATTTAAAGTTAATAAAACATTATATAGGATCCAGACTCCCCATGTATTTTCCATTCTTTTATTGATTGATTGATTGATTGATTTTTTTGTTTTGTTTTGTTTTTCGAGACAGGGTTTCTCTGTTGCTTTGGAGCCCATCCTGGAACTAGCTCTGTTGACCATACTGACCTCAAACTCACAGAGATCGACCTGCCTCTGCTTCCCAAGAGCTGGGATTAAATGGGATTAAAGGCATGTGCCACCAATGCCTGCCCTATTTTCCATTCTTATGTGGCTTTTTTTTTTTAAACTTTCTCTCTAAAGATTTGGTTTATTATTTTTAAATTTTTTTTTTCTATGACTGTCTGTATCCATTTTATGTTTTAGGCACATTGTTAAATACACTGTAACCTGTTTAGAGGTTTTCCCAGTCTGGACCTGTTTTATTCTGTATCTGTAACCTTTTTGTCTGCATGAGCAAAAACTTAAATTCACTATGTGGCTTAGCTCATGGGGCACTGGTGACTTAAGCACCCAGGCAGCTGTTGGGAGACATGTTTCAGTACCATGCAGCATTAGAGGCAGGAGACTGGGAAGCCGAGTTTGCCTTTTTGTGTGTGTGTGTTTAGAACGTTTTTAAAAGCTTTCTCAGGTCTTACATAGATATATGTGGCCTCATGTTGGATGCCATTTGTAGTTGGACCTTTTTGTCAGGACTGCCAGCTCCTCAATAATACAGAGACTTATGAATTATGAAAACTTGGTTGATAGCTTAGATTTGCTAGCTTTTATAACTTAATCCATTTCTATCTACCTATGTGTTGCCACATGACTCATGGCATTTAACTGTCCTGTATGTCTTGCTCCCCCTCTGCCTGGCTGATGACTTCCTGCATCTACACCCTTCTTCTCAGCATCCTTTCTGCCCTGAAAATCCTGCCAAGCTATTGGCTGTTCAGTTTTTTTATTAAACCAATTCAAGTGACAGATCTTCACAGTGTACAAAAAGATTATTCCACAACATGTCATCACACCTAGTAAGGCTTATTATTTGGGATGGGGCTTTGAGAAGGGTTTCTTTGTTGAAGGCTTGGCTGTTCTGGAACTCTTCTCTAGATCAGACTGGCTTGCCTTTGCCTTCCAAGACCTGGCAAGACTTGTTGATTTTAATTTTTTGCAAGCAAGCAAGATTTTATTGAAAAGTAAGCTGTCCACAGTAGAAAGTGGTTTTAAAAATGTGTTGAATAGGCTTATTATTTTTCTTTTCTTTCATTGTTTTTGGTTTTTGTCCAGAGTTTCTCTGTGTAGCCCTACTTGTCCTGGAACTAGCTTTGGAGACCAGACTGGCCTCAAATTCACAAAGATCTGCCTGCCCCTGCCTCTTGAATGCTGGGATTAAAGGTGAGGGCCACCACCTCCAGCTGGGTTTATTCAGTGAAGCAATAAATGATAAAGCTTAAGGCTGGCAATGTAGGTTGGGGGTAGAATGATTGTTCAGTATGTACATGATTCCATCCCCAGCACCAGAATTAAATAAAAAAAATTGACTTACTGTTGAATCAAACTGATGAGAATTGTTTTTTCTTTTTAAGTTGGAATATTAACTATTTGCTTTTTTGTTTTTATTTATTTGTTTGTTTGTTTTTTGTTGTTTTGTTTTGTTTTTCAAGACAGTGTTTCTCTGTATTGCTTTGGATCCTGTCCTGGAACTAGCTCTGTAGATCAGGCTGGCCTTGAACTCACAGGGATCTGCCTGCCTCTGCCTCCTGAGTGCTGGGTCTAAAGCGGTACACCTCTAACACCCGGCTCTTAACTGGTTTGTTTTTATAGTTAAGATTCTTGTAAATTATTATGAAAATATGTGTAAATGTCTTTTTTTCCCCCCAGAATGAAATTCACTAGAATTAGTACTCCCAAAAAATCCAAGAAAAGATCTAAGAAATCTGAAACAACTGAGGGAGATTTCACTTCTCAGAAGAAAAAGGTAATCAAAATATTGGAGTCCTGAATGTGATACTGTTTCCTTAAAAGACTGGCAATAGTTACTGTCATGTCATGTCTAGTCATGTCAAAAAAGATTCCATGTATTTGAGTCCATTAATTACAACCTGTGCTATTTATTCCCTGTTCTTCTATGTAGTTTATTAATATGTTAAGGAATTTCACTGTGCCAGGACAGCCAGGACTGTTACACAGAGAATCCCTGTCTCAACACCCTTCTCCCCACCCAAAAAAAAAGATAGATCATGTGGGCTCAAGCCTGCTGCCCTGAGTCTGATCATACACACACACACACACACACACACACACACACACACACACATACACAGAGTGTTTTATGTGACTGAATTAGCTTTGGGGGTCATGGGGACAGTGCTGGGATGTGTAAGGCCCTAGGTCTTATGCATCCTAGGTTAAGTAAAACCTTATCACACACACACACACACACACACACACACACACACACACACACACACACAGAGTGTTTTATGTGACTGAATTAGCTTTGGGGGTCATGGGGACAGTGCTGGGATGTGTAAGGCCCTAGGTCTTATGCATCCTAGGTTAAGTAAAACCTTATCCTCTGCCCTCTTTTACTTTTCTTTCTTTCTTTTTTCTTTCTCTTTGGTTTTTTTTTTTTTTTTTTTTGAGTCATGGTTTTCCTAAGTTGATTAGCTGGCCTTGAACTCAATATAATAGGCAGACAGGCAGGCATTGAATATGTGATTGGACTGCTTCAGTCTCCCTATGTGCTTTGTTTTGTTTTAATTTTCTTTATTTTTATATTCTATTTCTGGGTGTTTTGCCTGCTTTTGATCCTGCATCACAAGTGTGCAGTACCTGAAGAAACCAGAAAAGGGTTTCAGATCTGCTGGATGGTGGCAAATGAACCTTGTGCTAGTAACTACTAAGATAACTGTGTTTTTTGGTTTTTTTTTTTTTTAAGATTTATTTATTTATTATATATGCAGTGTTCTGTTTGCATATATACCTGCAAGCCAGAAGAGGGCATCAGATTTCATTGTAAATGTTTGTGAACCACCATGTAGTTGCTGGGAATTGAACTCAGGGCCTCTGGAGCCACCCTCCAGCCTCTCTCTCTCTTTGTTCTTTATCCCTTGTATGAAACAAGGTCTCTTTATGTACACCTGGTCTAGAACTCACAGAGATCCACCTGCCTCTGCCTCCTGAGTGCTGGGATTAAAGGTGTGCGTCACTACTACTCAGCTGTTTCTGGTTTTTTAAACTCAGATTCTCATACTGAGCCATCTCTCCAGCCCTTCTGGGTATTTTACACATACGTAGATACACTTACAATGATAATTACAGATTTTTAAAAAGCATAGTAATTATCACTAAATACATTTGCATGTGGGGACCCTGGTAAGATTTGAATAATCATTTCTTGGTTGACTATTAGTGTGATATAAAGGTATTTTTTCTATTATATATTTCTGGGTTTTTTTTAATTCTCAAATATGAAATTCTTGCTGTGTTCTGAATTAATAGTTCAAACTTTTGTCTAGGCAAACAGTACTTCAAAAAATGTATCAAAAGCAAAACAACTCATTGAGAAAGCAAAAGCTTTTCGAGTCAGTGGGTCAAAGACTGAAGACACAGCGGTGCCCTTGAGAAGGTCCTCTAGGCACCAGACACTTCCTGAGAGGGAGAAGTCACCAGAGACAGATGTAAGTATTCCCTTATCCATTGATACAGTTGTTACTGTTTTGTTATTATGGTGGGAGAAGAAAACCTTTACAAAGCTGTAAGGTCACATTTGATAGCCTGGACATGGTGGACACTCTGCTTTAAAAGCCTTTGGTTTACAGGATATAGTCCAGTCTCAGGTCACTTAAGGTATCTTGTAAACTGAACCTATTCTTCCCATTCCCCAAGCAGTTCCTTACCACAGCCATACTAAATTTCATTGCTCCCCAGATAGTTCACTTTTCACTGTTTATTTTCTCACTTTGAAATTCATATTCCAAGGACTGTCTTCTACCTGAGAATTCTCTACTATCCTGCTAAAACCACTACCTCCTAATTTTTAAAAAGTTTTATTGAGATATAATTTATATGCTGTACAGTTGGCCATTTCAAAACCTAAGGTGTAATGATACATACCTGGAATTGTAGCACTAGGGAGGTAAAACAGAGGAATCAGAAGTTGGGGGTGATCCTCAGGCTATGTGATAATTTCAAAGGCAGCCTGGTGTACAATGAGTCCCTGTCTCAAAAAAAGAAAAAAGAAAAAAGTATGAAATTCAGTGTCTTCAAATACATTCAAAATTGTGCTTCTAATATAATCAATTTTAGAAAATTTTCTGTTTTTTGAAACAGGATCTTACTGTGTAGTCCAGGGTCCTTCAAAGTCTCCATTCTTTTGCCCCAGCTGGGGTTGTCTGTGCCACTATGCCAGTTTAGAACATTTCCATTACCTCCAAAGAGGACACCATTCCCCTTTGCTGTTGCTTTCCAGTCTTCCCATTTCTCTATGACAGCTATTTATCCTCTTTCTATTTCTATAGATTTTCTATTCTGGACAGTTCATAAAACATTTTATAATAAAATATGGGAGACTTCTACCAGCTGAGCTACTTCCCCCAGCCTTCTATGATATCAACTATCCCCTTTTCCAGTGTATTTATCCTTTATATGCCATCTATCCAATAGTTATTTAGTAGCCACTTAAGTTATCTGATCTAACAATGCTTGTGATCAGGCATCCTTATTTTGCTAGATAGTGGCTCCATAGTGTAAGAATAGTAATACTGGCAATTTGGGTACACAAAAAAGAAGTAGTGAAAAAGGTGAAAATTCTTCAATGAATAAGGAATGAACCTCGGCATGATGGTACATGCCTTTACCCTGAGCATCCCAGACAGTGGTAGGTAGGAGTTTGAGATTAGCAGAGCAAGTTTCAGGACAGCCAGGGATATACTAGGATGACCTGTCTCAAGGAGAGAAAGTTATATTTTGAAATTGAAAACATCTGTAGTAAGAATCATTTATCTGTGAAATTATGAAGAAAAAAGGAAATTCCTTCAGTTTCACTGTCACACCTCAATCTGTAAAAGTTACGGCTCGAAGTGTGTGTTATCAGGTATGTACGTTTGTGACACCATCTGAGAGGCTTAGGTATGCACTGGGGTTATTGGAATCTCTTGTGGATAGGGAATACTGTAACATTAAAGTGGTTTTTTTCTTCCTTATTATGTTTTAGGACTCTATAATACTAATAGATTCAAGTCCAACTTCTGTAAAGCAACCAGAGAACAATCAGAAGAAACTTAAGAATTTGAATGATGTACTAGGAAAAAAAAATAACAAGCCTTCTAAAAATATTCCTGGTAATTGGATTTAATACTGTCTGATGAATAGTAATAGAATGTTTGGGGGCAATTAATTCTGAATTTTCTGGTGCAAAGTTAATGTCTTATTCCATAAAATAGAAAATTTAGGTATTTTGCTTGTTTTCTTTTTTGAGACAGGTTCTCACTATGTTTCCCTGGCTGAGATCTGTCTGCCTCTGCCTGAAAAGGGGTGGGATTAAAGGCATGTACCATTATGCCTGGCTCTTTTTTGTTTTGTTTTTTGTGGGTCAGGATCTCCTTGTCACCAGGCAAGTTACTTTCTATGTAGTTGAGGCTGGCCTTAAACTTCTCATCTTCCTGTGTTCACCTTCAAGTGCTGGTATTGTAGTCTGCCATCTTGCCTGCCTAATTATTTCCGTTTTGATCAAGCTTTTGAAATTTTGATCAAGCTTTTGAAAAAAAAAATGAACATCTTATTTTTTAAATTTTGTATTGGGACATAACTTTAAATTATTGTATTTCTGTATACATATACTTAGCAGCTCCCAAAATTGACTGTCAGATTTTTCTGTGTTCATTAAAACATTTCCTTATAGCTGGGTGTGATAGCACATGCCTTTAATCGAGATGCAGAGGCAGGCAGAACTCTGTGAATTCAAGTCCAGCCTGGTTGGCAGAGCAAATTCTAGGACAGCCAGAGCTACACAGGGAAACCCTGTCTTGAAACACCAAAACAAACCAAAACCATACAATTAATTTCCTTATTACTATTATTATTATCATTTTGGTGGTTTAATTTTTTAAAGATAGGGTTCCTCTGTGTAGCTTTGGGTGTCCTGAACTACCTCTTGTAGAAAATAATGGCCTGGAACTCAAAGAGATTTTCCTACCCCTGCCTTCCGAGTGCTGGGATTAAACACCACTGCTCAGCACATTTCCCTACTTTTTTCAAATTTATTGATTGATTTGTGTGCTCCCATGTGAGGGAGCAAGACAGTTTCAGGTATGGCTCTTCACCTTCCACTTGTGGTTTATACATGGGCTTCAGGCATGAAACCTGGTTTGTCCAACTCTACCTACTTAGCCATCTCTACAGCCCTCATTTTTTAAAAAATAAGATTTATTTATTCATTAACTATTTATTTTTAAAGGTTTATTTATGTGTTGTGTGTATGTGAGAGCTCTACCTGCATGTATACCTGCATGGCAGAAGAGGGCGTCAGATCCCATTACAAATAACTGTGAGCCACCATGTGGTTGCTGGGAATTGAACTCAGGAACTCTGAAAGAGCAGCCAGTGCTCTTAACTGCTGAGTCATCTCTCCGGCCCCAACTATTTATTTATTGACACAAGGTCTCACTTCACAATCATACCTGTTCTGGAACTTACTATGTAGTACAAGCTGGCTTTGAACTCAGAAATCAACTGGCCTCTCTGCCTTCTAAGAGCTGGGAATAAAGGTATGCCCTACCATGCTCAGCTTCATTTATTTACTTGTTTGTTTGTTTATTGGTTTTTTCAACACAGGGTTTCTTTGTAGATTTGGAGCCTATCCTGGAGCTCAATTGTAGAACAGGCTAGCCTTGAACTCAAAGAGATCCTCCTGCCTCTGCCTCTTGAGTTCTGGGATTAAAGGCAGGAGGTGGTAGTGTTTGTTCATTTCTTAACACTAAAACATTTCAAATTTTAGGTATTTTTCCTTGATGTACTGAGCAAAATTTAAGGTATACATTATGGGATGCTGTGGTTAAAAATGAAAGTTTTCCAGGGAGTTCCGCTATTACCAAGTTGATGAAACATTATTATATAGCATTTTTATAGTTGAAAAGTTAGATTTATAGAAGTTTTTAGAGATAACTGAAGTGGAGATGCTAAACATTTAATACTAACCCAAATATTCCTTTTTCTAAGGAAAAATGAAAATTGCTCCTTTATTTCTTGCCAAAAAGACTAAGAGAACAGCTGTTCCTGTCATTGATTTGGACGAAAGCAGGTCAGTCCAATCCAAATATATAAACATTTAATATTTTAGGGAATACAAGTTGTATCTACTTGTTTAATTAGATGACAATGACCATTTGAAATCTTTTTTTATTTTGCATGTGTGTGTGTGGTGTATGTATATAGCATATTTGTGGGTATCTGTGCTCACATGTGTGTTTGTGTACTTGTGTGCAGTTGCTCATAAATGTATAAATGGAGGTTAGAAGCTGATAACAAGAGTGTTTCTCTATTACCCAGCTTTTCTGTGAGTGCTGGGCATTGCAGCTCTAATCTCCACACTTATATGACAAATGCTTGACTCACTTGAGTTGTCTCCTCAGCCCTCTGGTGAAGTTTAAAACATACTTTTCTGAGTTTGTGCTGTCCCCTGAAAAATAAACAAATAAGTACTGTTGATAATGCTTGCACTACTGTTGAAGGTCTTAGGTTTTTGTAAAGGCTTTGGGGTTATTTCACATAAAATAGCAGAATTAAAAAAAAAAAAACCCCAAATTATCAATCTTTGTTCATGTCTCTTGTTCAGTAAATATTTAAATGTCTACAATATACCAGGCACTATTTTTTGACAATAGGAATGTTACAGAAAACACATTACTTGTCCTCATAAGGTTTATAGCTTCCAGAGGGAATAAATCTATAATTAAACATTAACTGGCTTACCAAATGAAGAATTGACATTGTGCTAAGGAAAGGCACAAAATTGTTTTAGTTTATATTAAAGAGATTTTTGTTTGGTTATTTCACAGGTCATTTTCTTTACCTGACCTGTGAAGAAAAAGCAGGGGCACATCAAGGAGAGGGATAGTGTTCTAGCCAGAGGGAACTATGTGTGCATAGTACCTTGGGCTACAAGGAATGTGCTAAGTACCAATGATGGGAAAAATGCTACTGTGACCTGAGCATCAGAGCAGGAGAGGAATGCAAGGTTAACTGGAGAGATAGTTACCAACCAGTAGAGGACCATAGATGCCATGCTGAAGAGTTTACTAAGAATGAAACAAATGCAAAAGGGTTTTAGGCATGAATATACATGTAAACATATTAGGTTTATGAAAGCTTAATGTGCCTACTTGATGAATCTTATGCCTGCATAAACAGTGGGATACAGGTTGGTAGAGTACTTTGTCTAACTTGCTTAGAGCCACAAGTTTAATTTCTACCTCTGAATAATTTGGGTGTGATGTTAGACACCTGTAATCCTAGCCTTTACAAAATTAAGGCAGAAGGGTCAGAGGTTCAGAGCCATCTTCAGTTACATAGAGAATGTGAGGCCAGCCCAGGTTATCTAAGACCCTATTTTTTGCTTTTTTATTTATTTAAAAGGGTAGAATGAAAAATAAGTTAAAATAGATGTAGGAGTACAGGTTTGAGATGTTGGGAATGGAAGCTAAGTTGTTGGAAGTGATATGTGAATAGATTTTCGGAGATAAATTGTGTGTGTGTGTGTGTGTGTGTGTGTTTATGTTTTTCTCCAGTACTGGAAATTAAACAGAGGACCTTGTACTAGTCAAGCACCCAGCCCTACATTTATTTATTTGAGACAGGGTCTTGCTAAGTTACCCAGGCAGGCCCTCTATCTTCATCCATATCTGGTGAAATCTTTTCATGATTACTGGGTTTTAGGTTATGCCTGGAATCATGTTTTACTCTAGAAAGATTATATGTGCTTGTGTGTGTGTGTGTGTGTGTGTGTGTGTTTTCTTATTAATGCCACCACCTTCATGACAAGAGATTATTATTTAAAGTATCTATTTTTATTCCTTTTTAAAGATTTGCATACTGCCTTATTCACTATTTGAATGCTGCAAATTGACACCATGACCAAGGCAGCTCTTATAAAGCAAGGCAGTTAGTTGGGAGCTTACTTACAGATTTAGATGGTATAGCATGTTTTTTATTTTGGGACCACCAACCAGCTCCCAAATCATGACACAGACACTGTTGTTGTTGATTTTGTTTTCAAGACAGGGTTTCTTTGTCTAGCCCTGGCTGTTCTGGAACTAGTTGGGTAGATCAATCTGCCTGGAGCTCACAGATTCACTTGCCTCTGCTTTCAGAGTGCTAGGATCAAAGGTGTATACACACACACACACACACACACACACACACACACACACGCATGCACGCACGCACGCACGCGCACACACACACACACACACACACACACACACACACACACCCCTCCCCCGGCCAATAGAGACTTCTTATTAGTTATGAATGCTTAGCCTAGCTTAGGCATATTTCTGGCTAGCTCTTTTAACTTAAATTAACTTATTTGTCTTTATTTACCTTTTGCCGTAGAGCTTTTTACTTTTCTTTCCTTCTGTATATCTTACTTCACTGCTTCTCATGTCTGGCTGCCTGTCTTCTTGCCCCAGATGTGTCCCTCTTTCTCCTCATTCTCTTCTTTCTTGTTCTCGAGCCTAGATTTCTCCTATTTATTATTCTCTTTCCTGGCCAGCCCTGCCTATCCTTTCTGCTGCCTACGTATAGGTTGTTCAGCTTTTTATTAGATCAATCAGGTACATTAGGCAGACAAGGCTAAACAAATGCAACACATCTTTAGGTAATTAAACAAATGCAACATAAACAAAAAAAAAAAAAAAAAAAAAAAAAACACACCTTTGTAGGCAGAGTTTCTCTGTGTCCCAGCAATAATTCCCAAATAATCACTCAGAGACTTACTATTAATTAATTATAAATCCTTGGCAGATGGCTCAGGCTTGTTAGTAGTTATCTCTTACATTTTCAGTTAACCCATATTTCCTATCTACACTCTGAAATGTGGTAGTACCTTCTTTAAACACAGCACATTCATTTTGCTTCTCTCTGCATCCTGTTATGACTCCTGAGACTCCATCCTTTTTCTTCCCAGCATCCTCTGTGTCTGACTCTCCCACCTATTCCTCCTGCCTAGCTATCAGCCAGTCAGCTGTTTTTTTTTAAACCAATCAGAAAAATAAAATAAAATAAACCAATCAGAAGGTGCCTTAGCAAGACATATCTTTACAGTGTACGAAAAGATTATTTCATAACATTTCCCTCATTTTATCTAATTAAAAAAGGTTTAACTTTAACATAGTAAAACTATATATAACAAAAACATTTATCAAGTAAGAATTACAGCTGCAATTTCCAGTCCATTTGTTTTTTGGCAAAATAAGAGGAAATGTTCTATTATCTATTTTATCTTTGTGAGTCTAAAGTTTTATACCTAATTTATTTTTATCATAACTAAGAAAACTATAAATTTAATTAATTAATAATAATTATTATTAATAATTAACTCCCTCAAAGACTCCAGAAGGTGTAGGGACATCTGGCTGCCTGGACAGTCACTCAAAGTTTTTCTGTAACATTGGGACAGCTAACTTTGGCCTACAGGCCTAGTACATGTGAGAGGTAGTTCTGAGAAGCAGGGAATTTTTGAAGGACTGCCCTGCTGTGTCTTAGCAAAGTTTGGCAGCACTTTATTTTGTGTCCTGCTGGACAGTATACTGTCAGCAGTTGAGTTCAGGGCAGTTTCTCTGCGGAGCTGGCCAGCTTTTGCCATAAAGAAAGCAAAACTCCATATGGAGGTTCTTTGATACATATCATCTTCTTTGTTTGTTTTTGTTTCTTTGAAACAGGGTTTCTCTGTGTAGCTTTGGAGTCTGCCCTGGAACTTTTGCTCTGTAGATCAGGCTGGCCTGGAACTCAGAGAGATCAGCCTACCTCTACCTTGAGTGCTGGGATTAAAGGCATGCACTACCATAGCCCAGCCACCATCTTCTTTTAAAATAAATTGGTGCTGTCAAGGAGCAGCCATATCTCCTTGTCATGACCTAGGTTATTAAGCATATTAAATGCCATAGTCTGTAGAAGTATTTGAAGACCACCTATCTTTCTAAATAAATCTGTGTATGACCTTGAAAACATACATGATATGACTATGTTTGACTATTATAGATGACTATTAGTCTGTATTTCTTAATTATACTTTACATTTTAAAATGAGCTGCATAGACACAATACCCCAAACAAGAATAGAAGCATACATACAATATAACAAAATTAACTTTCAAATTGTATCAATAAACAAAAATCTATCCAATTTAAAATATTTTGACATTAATGGTTGTTTTTTAGATTTAAGTAGATTCAATAATCTACCCCTTTTTTCCTATCATTTCTATATCATATCTCCTTTTTTCCTTTAGAAAGACATCTTTGAATTTAACTCCTTTGTTTAGTGTTTTTTCTGATTATAGCCAATAACAACTTGTAACCATTCCCCATAAATAATGACAAACATATATAATGTGTTGAACAACCATAACCCACCCACACTCCACCTCTTAGGGATGTGGGCATCATTCTCTAGACTACTTCCTGTTGTCTGTGGGGGAACCTTGAGAAAATTAGGGTAATAATTATTGGGTCTTAGCTGGAGTAGTTTGTGAGGCTGGAACACTTCAGCCTTGAAGCTGTTTTAATGCAAAATCCTGAGACTAGCAGAGGCATTTTGAGAGGCTGGATCACCTGAGCTATCCATTTTCATTGTCTGGTCTTCTTGTTCTGAAAATATTTTAAAGGTAATATACATTTCTGTATTAATAGGAGTAGAGACTCTCTACCTCCCTTATTTCTCCCTGTTGCTCTATCTGGCTTCAAATTTCCGGGTTCAAGTAAACCATGCGTCAGCTTTCTGAGTAGGTGGGACTGTAGTAGTTGCATGGCACTACAGTTGGCTATGCTACATTTAGATATACTACTTAGGGCAATACTACTCAGGGAAAGTAAACAGTTTGAGTATTAACAAATGTGCGTATTTGTAATCATCACTGCAATAAAAATAGAGAACAGTCTCATGATTCTCAAGAAAATTTCCTTTGCCTCTTTGCAGCTAACCCTGCCCCTGAGTTCACATCATAGTTTAGGCTATACTGCGCCTGACAATCCTTCCACCTATACTCTCAAATTTGCTTTGATTTCAGCTGTTTGTCAACACAATAAGTCTTTCAGGGTTGTTTTGGGTTTTGTTTTGTTGGTTTGTTTATTTTTCTGTATGTGTGTCTATGTGAGCTCATGAGTGTACTTTAAAAAAATTGTCATAGTGGTGGTCATACTTGTGAAAGTCAGAGCACAACTTTGTGAAGTTGGTCCTCTCCTATCTTTATGTTGGTTTCAGGGATTCAATTCAGGTCACCAAGCTTTCATGACAAACACTTTACTTGTTGAGCCATCTTGCTAGATACGATATTTTTTGTTTGTTTCATTTAGAACATTTTCATGTAGTGCTGGCTGGCCTTGAACTCATTATGTAGTCAAAGATAACCTTGATCTCCTGACTCCCCCCGCCCCCAGTGCTAGAGTTACAGATTTTTACCATCAGCCAGGTGGTGGTTGCTCATGCCTTTAGTCCCAGCACTCAGGAGGCAGAGGCAGATAGACCTCTGTGAGTTCAAGGACAGCCAGGACTACAATGAGAAACCCTGTGTCATGTGCCCCACCACCAAATCAAACAACAACAAAACCAGATATGTACCACCACACACAGCTATAATAAAAGCTTTTTACATAGATTCACTGGTTGGTGTTGGCTCATGCCTTTAATCCCAATACTCTGGAGGCAGAGGTAGGTGGATCTCTGTGTTCAAGGCCAGCCTGGTCTACAGAGAAAGGTCCAGGATAGACAGGGCTACACAGAGAATTCAGGTATCCAGTTCTGAGGTTGAATCTTTAAAAAAAAAAAAATTAAAAATTATATATCTGTGTGATTGTATACTTTATGGGTGTGGGTGCACTCAGAGGACAGAAGAGAGGGTCATAGCCCTTGGACCTTGAGTTAGAGGCAGTTGTGATCTTCCTATTATGGGTACTGAGAACCGAACTCAGTAACAAGTGCTCTTAACTGTTGAACTGTCTCTCCAGCCCCATTTAATTCTTCTTATCTGGCGTTAAGACTCATCTGCCCCTCAGTTTTTACTCAAAGAAAAGAGGAAAACAGATGCATAATTTTCTTTTGCAACCTTGTAAAACTTACCAACCCAAATTTGTATAGAAATTTTCAGTCCTTGTATATGTGGCAGGCCAGGAAGGATATGCAAGCTGTGACAAACCCACACTTTTTCTGCCTCCACTGCTCCAACTCCCTAGCTTCCTGAATGCTGGGATTACAGGTGTATGCCACTATATCCAGCTTATTTGTTTCTTTTCTTTGGTGGTGCTGGAGATTGAACACAGGCTCTTGCATATACTAGGGAAGTGTTCGCCCATCAAGCTATTGTATTAAGTTCTGACTGTGACACCGACCTTGTTTTTCTGATTATAATATATATGCTTATTTAATAACAACAACCTCGTGCTGTAGTTTGCAGGTAGAATGCATGCATCATTGTACAACCCTGAGTTTGCTTTCTAGGCTCAGACCAAACAGCAGGCATAAAGAAGAAAACTCCCAAATGTAGAGAGTCCCAGCTAGCATTTTCGTGGGTGCCTTCTATGACAGATGTTTTGTTTTGTGGTTTTTCTTTTTTTATATATATACATATTGTCTTATTTAATTTTCTGACACGAGTAATAAGCAAAAAGGATTTTACCAACTAATTGATTGAATGTACTTAATTCTGAAAATTTTTTTAGATTTCATTTTGTGTGTGTGTACTCCTGGTTGCCTATCTGTGCTGATGCATGCTTATGTTGGTATGGGTGTGAAGGTCAGAGGAGATTGTGAGTTGGTTCTTTCCTCTGTGTGGGTTCCAGGGATGGAACTCAAGTTGTCAGGCTTAGGCTTGTGTGGCAAGTGCTCATTAGGTTGAAGATAAAATTTAAAAGTGTTAACTTTCTAGATAAATTGTTCTTTACAATTTTTGCATTTATTTATTTACTTGTGTGTGTGGTGCATTTATAGGGCAGAGATTTGGTTTTGTTCTTACTACCCTGTTGGTCTAGAGATTGAACCTAGGACATAAGATTGATAGCAAGTACCTTTACCTGCTGAGTCTCACACTGACCCTAAATAGCTTGTTCTTCATTTTATTTTACTTCATTTATTTATTTACAGATAAGATCTAGTTGTCTTGGAACTTATTATGTAGACTTGGCTAGTCTCTAAGTGATCCTACCTTGGCCTGAATGCTGAGATTAAAGGCATGCACTACAACACCTGGCTATTTTTTTAAAAAATTTTTTTTGTTTCTTATTTTTCGAGACAGTGTTTCTCTGTGGCTTTGGAGGCTGTCCTGGAACTAGCTCTTGTAGACCAGGCTGGTCTCCAACTCACAGAGATCCACCTGCCTCTGCCTCACGAGTGCTGGGATTAAAGGCATGAGCCACCAATGCCCGGCTTAAAATTATTTTTATTACATTTATTTACTTACATGTGCATAAACACATGTGCCGTGCTTGTGAAAGATCAGAATACAATTTGTTGGTGTTGATTCTCTCTTCTATGTTGTAGGTACTAGGAAATTGAACTCAGGTTGTCAATTTATTCATTTTGGTGCTTATAACTTTTGCTTTTATTTTTTCCAAATAATTTTCTTCAAAGTCAAGACTCATTAGAACAAACTCAGGATTGTGATGTACAGTTTAAAGCAAAGCGTGATTTTCTAATGAGTGGTTTGCCAGATTTACTGAAACGACAGATTGCAAAGAAAGCAGCTGCACTAGATTTATACAATGCAGTGAGTACCAGTTTCCAGAGGGTTGTTCATGTACAACAGAAGGATGATGGTAAGTTTATTTTGTGTTTATGTGTATATGCATGTCTTTGTTATTTATGTATTTAGACATGGTCTCTGTGTAGTTTGGCTGTCTTAGAACTCATTATGAAGTCCAGGCTGGCCTGAAATGTATGTTATTGAGCCAGAGTTTTATTCTATAGCCCAGTCTGGACTTGAAATTATGTATCCTTAAAATTAGTAGTACTTCTGCTTTAGCATCCTGAATGTTGGGATTAGAGACTATGGGCCAGTACCTGGCTAAGTATTTATTTATTTCTTTGATTTTTTTTTTTTCGAGATAGGATTTCTTTGTGTGATAGTCTTGGCTGTCCTAGAACTTGTTTTGTAGATCAGGCTGGCCTTGAACTCACAGAGATCCACCCCCCTCCCTTTAGTACTTAATCTTACCATGTTAGAAGTAATCTGATAACATGTAAAGTGATGTTAGAAAAAAAGGGGGGGACTGTCAGTTGGTGGTGGCACATGCTTCTAATCCCAGTACTTGGGAAACTATGGCAGGTGGATCTCTGTGAGTTCCAGGCCAACCTGGTCCACAAAGTGAGTTCTAGGACTGCCAGGGTTACACAGAGAAACCCTGTCTTGACCAACACCTCCCCCACTCCCCCTCACCCCCGCAAAACAAAAAATAAAAAAAGGAAAAGGGACATAGGGATGTTTCTGTTTGAAAGAATATCTGCCCATATATGAAGTCAGCACAACAAAAGGTAAAATTGAGGATGAGCTTTAATTAAGGACAGTAGCACATACCTGTTATCCTAACACTGGAGCCTGAGAGCAGGAGCATGATGAGTTTGAGGCCATTCTGAGCTATAATGAGGCTCTGGGGTTTTTGTTTTTTTTTTAAAGAAAAAGTTGGAGAAATGGCTCGGTGGTTAGGCACACTTACTGCTCTTTCAGAGTACCTGTGTTCCAGTTCCAGCACCCACATGGAGGCTCAAAACCACTTGTAACCCCAGGTCCAGGAGATGAGGGTTTATTCCATTGAGGAAGGAAAAACTCTCCTGTCCTCAATGGGCACCTGTATACATGTGCTACACATATATACACATAGTCACACACACACACATAAAAATAAAATAATCCCAGTGCTTAGGAGGTATAAACAGGTGAAACTCTTGAGTTCAAGACTAGCCTGGTCTATATAGCATGTTACAGGTCAGCTAGAGCTTTTTATTATGAGACCCTGTCTTTAAAAAAAGGAAGAAATGCTTTCAAAAAACTAATAAATTGTTTGTTTTTTATTTGAGACAGGGTTTTTCTTTTCTTTTTTAAAAGATGTTCATTTATCATTGTTTTGTCTGCATGTATGCCTGCATGCCAGAAGAGGGCACTAGATCTCATTACAAATGGTTGTGAGCCACCACATGGTTGCTGGGAATTGAACTCAGGACCTCTGGAAGAGCAGCCAGTGCTCTTAACCGCTGAGCCATCTCTCCAGCCCAAGACAGGGTTTTTCTGGTTGTCCTGGAACCTATAAGACTAGGCTGGCCTTGAACTCACAGAGATCTGCCTGCCTCTCTCCTGAATGCTAGGATAATTAAAGGCATGTGCCACCACCTCCTAGCATTAAATACAAATTTTAAAAAGAAGAAAATGAAGGAGGTTTTCTAGTTTTATAGCATTCTGATGGTGGTTTTAGTGCTTACAAGAATATTTTATCCTTTTTTTCTAATCCCTGGACCCTTTTACTAAAGATGCTCTTATACAGAGTAAAGAAGGCAGAGGGATCCTTATTCTACCCCTTGTGCCATCCTTGCATCCCTGCTGTAAGGGGCCTTGGATGAATACTGTTTTAATGTTTAAACTTGGGCTTGTTGTGAGGCTGGGACTGAGGATCTATAGATCATGACCTGTAGTGAGGCTCTGTCTAAAAACAAATAAGACAAAAACAAACAAAAAATCAAAACCATAGACAGACCCTAACTCCGAATGCTAAATAGTACCTTGGTTTTTAACCTATGTATCAAGGTTGATTTAAAAAGAAATTAATTTGCAGGTATTTGATCATTTTTTATACATTAAAGAGAAGATGAGGTGATTTTTATCAGTTTTTTGGTGGGAGTCTTTCTGTGAAACCTAGGTAAGCCTTGTGCTTAGTCCTGTCTCAAGTGTTGGCATTATAGGAGTTTGCCATGGCATGGCTGAGCTATGTATTTGTTCACTATGTATTCACTTGGGTGTTTGATATTTTTGTTTGAACTATATAGCTGCTTTGGTTTGTTTGTTTCCTGGGGGTTTTGCTTTTGTTGTTGTTGTTTGGTATTTCTGAGCTTTGAACTCAGAGTCCCATATGTAAGATTTGTCAGACCTTTCCGTGTTTGCATGTTTGAAATCCCATAAATGAATAGTGTATAACTTAGGATACTTCTCTTTTTTTTTTTTTTTTTAGAGTATTGGTTATGGCAATTGAAGCCACCTTCTTGTCCTCTGTTAACTGAATTTAAAGAATTGAGCAGTAAAGTGACAGATCTCTCAAAATGTGTTCTTGCTCTTGGTGAATTTTCAACATTGAATTCAAATCCAAGAAGTAATTCTGCTGTTGTGGTAAGTTCAGAGCCCATCCATAATTCCAGGGGTTGTTCTTTCCCAGCTTTCAGGAGAAATCACTGCCTACCAACTGTTTAGCCAGGGGTTCTTCTTTTCCTAGGCTCTAGTTTTTAAAACAATTCTAATTGAAATACACATTCTCAGTCAGGCAGTGGTAGCACATGCCTTTAATCTCAGTGTTCCAGGCAGAAGCAGGAGGATTTTTGAGTTCAAGTCCATTCTCTTCTACAGAGCTAGTTCCAGGACAGCCACGGTTATACAGAACCTTGTCTCAAAAAAAAAAAAAAAAAAAAAAAAAAAAATATATTCTCTTTAAATAGTCATAGAGCTTTAAAGAGTGTATATATATATATACATATATATATATATACTTTAAAGAGTGTAAATATATATATTTATTTAAATTTTATGTTTATGTGTTCCTCATTATATGTATGTACAGTTGCTCACAGAGACCAGAAGGCATGATGTGCCCTGAACTGGAGTTAACAGGCAGTTGTGAGTCACCTAATGTTGGTGCTGGGAACTGAGCAACAAGAGTACGTGTAAGCACTGGGCCATTTCTCTTACCCCTTTAAAACATTAGCATAATTAATGGTAGAGCCAAGCACTTGAAAGGTTAAGGCATGAAGTAGATGAATTTAAGGCAAGCCTGAGCTATTACCTTTATTTTATTTTGACAAAGGTTTTCAAATTCACTATGATGCATTGGCTGGCATGGAGCTCACTATGTAGGCCAGGCTGGCCTTGAATTCACAGAGATCCACCTGCCTAGGGTCTGCCATGCCTGGCAAGACCTTACATTTAAAATAAATTTTAAAAAAGAATAAAAAAGCAATTGTAACAGAATATTAGATTATATAGAACATTTAAATACTTTGTAAGTCAGAACTACTGTGTAAAGTATAATTAGTTGAAAGTAGAAGATAAATATATGAAATAGGTCCTCCAAAGCTAAGCTTTTGTGTTCGGTGACTAATATTCCATTGATAGAGTTTCTGGGCAGGAAGCATTTGGTAGTGCTGTGACTAAGGCAATAGATGATACAGGCTCATTATTGTACATCTCGTTCTTCATTGCAGCTGATGAGGACAAGGAAGGACTTTACTAAAGAAGTAAGGGATCTTTTGCTGGAGGAAATAAAGTGGTCAAATCCTGAGTTTTCTTTAAGAAAATATTTTCCCTTGCTTCTAAAAAAACGAATTGAGCATCAGGTACTTTCTGAGTGTCATGGTAAACAAGGTTAGTGAAAATCATTGTTATTATATCTACATTTGAGTTTTGTCTCTCTTTTTGTTTGTTTGTTTTTATAATTTATTTAACTTTATTGTATTTGTATTGGTACAAAGGTGTCAGATCCCCTGAAACTGGAATTACAGACAGTTGTGAGCTGCCATGTGGATGCTGGGAATTGATCCCAAGAGCAGCCAGTCCTCTTAACCTCTGAGCAATCTCTGTAGCCCCCTTTTTTTGTTTTTTGAGACAGGGTTTGTCTATGTAGCTTTGGCTGTCCTAGAACTCACTTTGTGGACCTGAGTGGTCTTGAGCTTAAAGAGAACAGCCTGCGTGCCTCCAGAGTCCTGGGATTAAAGAAGTGTGCCACCACCACTTGGCTTATATTTGAGTTTTGAAAACATGAAGACCCAATCTTTGGCTCTTAGAATTGGTTTTTACAGACAGAACTTTGCTGCCAATTGGCAAGGGAGATTGTTTAGGAGTACAGTGTGGTGTTTGGTCCTGCTAACTTCCAGAGATCCTAACCCAGGCAGATCTAGTTATGTTAAAATGATAATCATTCTTTAGTAAAGACTTAAATGAAGCCATTGCAACTTATGTTCTTGTACAATCTAAATATTAAGGTCTTCAGCTTACTGTAATTACATAATATTTGATTTTACCTTTTCATCTTAATGTTGTAAGACTATAGGATATTTGAAAGTGACAGGAAGATTATTGGGTTTTAAAGATTGTTTTATTGATTACTAAATACATACATTTCTTTCAATTCCCAAAATAGCAAGTCCACAACTACAGTCTCATGTCAGTCAAAAAGAAACCAAAAGGAAACGTGGAGAAACAGGAAATCAGAAGTCAAAAAGAAAGAAACCAAATGAATATTCAGTGAGCCCAGAAAAGATAAAGGAGAAGTCAGAAGATCTTGACAAAAGAATCAGCTCTTCTGGGATAAATCTGCATTCTTTCAAAGGTACATTTCTAAATATCTCAGGGAAGAAGCAAACTGCTGTAAGTACATGTAAAGTTAAGACAGAAACAGTAGATGATGCTATTCTGATAATAGATGAAGGCAGAGTCAGTAGCAGGAATACTATCCTTTCCTGACAAATTGAAATTTTTTTTAACCTTCTCATCATAGAACGCTTGATTTTGTAACCTCTCAATCCCTAACCCATTTTGAGATAGTCTTATATAGCCCAGGCTAACCTCAAATAATCTCATCTGACCTTGAGCTTCCTGCATCAACGTCCCAAGCACCAGGATTATAAGTGTGCCATATTTATGCATATTTTTGGGGACTGAACCCATGCCTTTGCCCATGGTAGGCCACATTGTGAATCCCTAACCTGTCACACTCCTTTACCACTCTCCCCGTTTTTAAAAAACAGTTTTCTGATGGTCTTGAACTTATTCTTTTGTCTCAGCCTTCCAAATAGCTGTGTTGGCTCATACAAAAGCATATTAACATGTTGGTGTTTAATTTATGGTTTTATTGTTCCTCTATGAATACCCATGAAAAAGCATGGGTATTTTTAGACACAATATCCTGCTATGTGTCCCTGGCTGGGCTTGATCTCATGAGTATTTGGATTGTTGGCCTCCACCACACTTTCCTTCTACTTAGGTTTTGTTTTGTAAGATGGAGATTTGCCAGACCTGGTGATACAGGCCTGTGATCCAAGTTATTCAGGAAGCCAAATCAGGAGGATCACAAGTTTAAAGTCTACTTGTGCTACAGAATTGAATTCAAGGCTAGCCTGAGAAACTTAGTGAGACCTGTTTCTGGGGCTATAGTGCAGTGGTAGTTCAATCCCCAGCCCTATGAGAAGGAAGAGAGGGAGGGAGGGAGATAAAGAAAAGCCTGTAATCATACTATTTATATTATTTTTCAGTATTACTTTTCCTTTCTACACTTTCCTATTCAGCATATATGTATAAACACACATCTTGTGCAAAGTATTCTATTGAGTTGATTTTATTGTTGTTTTTTGTTTCTTGAGACAGGGTTTCTCTCTGTACTGGCTGTCCTGGAACTCACTCTGAAGTCAAAGCTGGCCTCAAACCCAGAGGCCCTCTTGCCTTCTGAGTGCTGGTATTTAAGTCATAAACCACCACACCAGAGTTGATTTGATTTGATTCATCTATTTTATGTAAAGTTTATGGAATGTTTTAGTATTTGATATGGCATGTCACCTACCATTTTCTTAAATTTGTAAAAATTTTACTTTATGTACATGGGTGTTTCTCCTGTATGTTTATCTACACCACATATAGGATGGTGCTGGCAAAGCACCAGAAGAGGGCATTGGAGCTCCAGTTCTAACTGGAGTTACAGTTATGAGGGTGCGAGAACAAACTTGGGTCCTCTAGAAGGTAGCCAGTGATCTTAACTTCCAGAGAACCATCTCTCCAGTCCCCTCACCTACTACAGGAGATATTTTTATGAACTGACTTCCTTTAGTATACTATCAGCTTCCTCACGTGTATAAGTCCCATTGAGACTTTGTGTTTTCATTGGTTGGCGTATTAGTTTGGTGAGAATTGCCATCTTGACAGTTGACTCTGTTACTGATACATCCATTGTCTTTTTATTCAGATTGGCTTCAAAAATCAGAAGCTGCTTTTGCTCTTTAGCTAGCTTACTGGTTTCTGTGCTACACACTTTCTTAACTGTTCATATTGTCAATTACGGTAATTTAAAATGTAGTTGTTAAAAGTTGTAATGCACATATATTACTCCATACTTTTTTTATGTGTATGTTTGGTTTTTTTTTTTTTTTTTTTTTTTAAGGTGATTTGAGTTTGGTATAACAGATTGTAAATGTAAAGTTTTAAAAGTAGATGTTTGCATTTTACAAATAAAATTATTTCTATACATGTCTTTTATTACATTTATAAGAAGGTAAATGTCTAAGGATGTTTGTTTTTGTCAAGGAATGAATAATAATTAAATGTATATTTATCTTTGCTTTAGATTCTGGAACTGAAGACATGCTTTGGACAGAAAAGTACCAGCCTCAAAATTCGAATGAACTCATAGGCAATGAATTAGCTATCAAAAAGTTACATAGGTGGGTAAAATTTGTAAAGGAACTAAGAAATAGTTTATGGATCTAGTCTTGCTATTTAGACTAAAATTTAGAAACTACACCGGGTAATGGTGTTGCATACCTTTAATCTGAGCACTCAGGAGGCAGAGCCAGGTGGATATTTGTGAGTTCTGGGCCATCTGATCTATAGAGCAAGTTCCAGGGCAGGCTCCAAAGCTACACACAGAAACCTTGTCTTGAAAAAAAGGCTTTTTTTGAAAGTAATTTCAAATAAAAAGTTTCTCTTAGGGGTTGGTGTTGCATATCTTTAATCCCAGCACTAGGGAGGTAGAGGCAGATGGATCTCTGTGAGTTTGAGGCCAGCCTGGTCTACAGAGTGAGTTCTAGGATAGCTAGTACTTTTTTGAGAAACCCAATCTCAGGAGGAAAAAGAAAAAGGGTTGTTTTTTTTTGTTTGTTTTTTGTTTTTTTATTATTATTTATCTTCACCAGAGGTTACTACTATTAAAATCATCTCATAAAACTTTCAGACAAAATTATATGTACTGGTTGTGATTGTGACACCTGTAATTCCAGCAGTCTAGAAATGGATGTAAGAGGACTAGTAAATGCCAGTTTGAACTACTTAGTAAGGTTTAGGCTAGCCTGGTCTACATGATACTCTTATCTCAAAAAAATCATATCCATGTATTAAACCTTTTTTATTATTTTTTTTTTTAACATGGTTTCTCTGCATAGCCTTGACTGGCATAAAGGCATATGCCACCACCATCCAGCAATTCTTGATTTCTAACCAGTAGAATTGTGTTACTAATAATTTCAGGCCCACAATTCCAAAGCTAAAATTTACTGACTTTGAAAAGTTCATTATAGGGGTCTTTATTGGTCATTCTTAGGAATTCAAATTACTTTTCCAAAAGCTGGGCATAGTGGTATTCACCTTTAATCCCAGCAATCGGAAGGCAGAGGCAGGTGGATCTCCTCTAAGTTCAAGGATAGCCTGATCTACATAGTGAGTTCCAGGACAGCCAGAGCTATATAATGTCTCCAAAACAAAACAAAATTGCCTTTCTAGATCCAGGCCTCATGATGTACTTCTGTAATCCTAGTACATGGGAGGCTAGGGAAAGAGAATTATTGTGATTTCAAGGGCCGTCTGGGTAACATAGCCATACTTTGTCTTAAAAAAAATAAGCCAGTTGGGGATCATCATGATGGCTCCGTGGGTAAAGATGCTTGACAGCCTGAATTCTTTGTTTGTTTTTCAAGACAGGGTTTTGTGTGTCAGCTCCAGCTGAACTGTTACTTGCTTTGTAGACCATGCTAGCCTTGAATTCACAGAGATCCACCTGCTTGTGCTTCCTGAGTGCTGGGATTAAAGAAGTATGCCACCACGACCCAGAAGTTTATATTAGTTGTATTAATGCATTTCTTCTATGTCAGTTGGTTGAAGGACTGGAAAAGAAGAGCTGAACTGGAAGAAAGACAGAATTTGAAAGGAAGAAGAGACGAAAAACAGGAAGGTATTTTGAGTTGTAGTTTTTTGTTTTTTGTTTTTTTTTTTTTAAATTTCATTGAACATTTCTAGAGTTAGATCAGCAAAAATTTGCACAAATATTTCATATTTGATTTTTTTTTACTCTTTGAGAATTCATTTCATAGTATTGGCAAGAAATCTGAGGTAAAAAGAGTTACTAAGCAATTAATCATTTTATTTATATTTGAATACTTTTTCAGATTTGTCGGATAGCATGGACTTTAAAGGCAGTTCAGATGATGAAGAGTGTCGTCTTTGCAACACTGTTCTTATAACAGGGCCAACGGGAGTGGGAAAAACTGCTGCTGTGTATGCTTGTGCCCAGGAGCTTGGATTTAAGGTTAGTAGTTAGCTACAATGAATGTTAATATATGAATAGTCCTAGCATCAAACTGGAGATCAGAAATCCAAGGCCAGCCTGTGTTAATTAAGCCCTGTTTCAAAAAGGAGGAAAAGGTGAGGGGAGATGACTGGCTGGAAAAGTACCTGACAACTGAATTTATTTTCCCCAGCATCTGTGAGAAAGCTGCTAAGGCCTGGAGAGGTAAGTCAGGCAGATTTCTGGAGTATACCAGCTGGACTCACCAGTCATGAATACCAGGTTCACCAAAAGACCCATCTCTCTCTCTCTCTCTCTCTCTCTCTCTCTCTCTCTCTCTCTCTCTCTCTCTCTCTCTCTCCCCCTTCCTTCCTTCCTTTCTTCCTCCCTTCCTCCCTCTGTTCCCTCTCTCTCTTTCTCTTTCTGTTTCTCTATATCTCTCTCTTTCTTGCTTTTTTTTGTTGATTTTGTTTCGTTTGAGAAAGGGTCTCTATTTAGATCAGGCTGACCTGGAACTCACAGATCTGAATGCCTCTGCACTCTGAGTGCTAGGATTACAAGTGTGCTTCACCACACAGGAATCATGGTCCTTTTCTTAAACACAAGGTGGGGAGAAATTGAGGAACACACCCAAGGTCATCCTCTGGCCTCCACATGAACACACTCCCATTTGCATGTTTTAGAGGAAGAAGCAGGTATAATGGCTTACACTTGTAATCCTAGCATTCAGGAAGCTGAGGCTGAAGCTGAATTGCTTAGCATTCGAGCTCAACCTAGGCTACCGTGTGAGACCCTGTCTCCCCTCCTCCCCCCAAAAAAGGAAATAAAATATAAAATCTATTTGCCTTTTTAAAAAGATATATTCTTCTTTTAGATATTTGAAGTGAATGCCTCTTCCCAGAGAAGTGGTAGACAAATCCTGTCTCAGCTGAAGGAAGCTACTCAGTCCCATCAAGTAGATAAGCAAGGTGTAAACTCCCAAAAACCCTGCTTCTTTAATAACTACAACATTGGCAAGTCACCAAGTAAGTAACTTATTCCCTTGAGCTACAGTAATCTTTTGAAAAGTAAAATCTGGGAGACTAGCTCTCATCAACACCTGCCATTTCCTTTCTTCTTTTCTCTCTCTCTCTCTCTCTCTCTCTCTCTCTCTCTTTAAAGTTTTGGTTTTCAAGACAGGGAGACGGAGACAGGGTTTCTCTGTATTATATTGGTGGAGGGGGGGCTTGTCCTGGAACTCCTTCTGTAGACCAGGCTTGAAGTCACAGAGATCTGCCTACCTCTGCCTCCTGAGTGCTGGGATTAAAGGCATGCACCACTAACACCCAGTTTCCTTTCTCTCTTTTTCTGCACACAAACATGCTTTTGCTCCCAGGGCTGTGTTAAAATAAAATATATATGAAGAACATGAACTAAATCTCAATACCATTCTATTGCTTTATTCCACATGTTCTTCAACATATGTTTCTAAACATTAAGGACTTTTTGAAAAGCAAAGCAATAGTATCATAATCAAACCTAACAAAATGAGGCTTGTTTCTTGCTAAAAACATTCTGGTTTCAGTTTTCAGTGATTTTACATGGCTTATTCAAATCACTATCCAAACAAGGCCCACATTTCACATTTGATTAGTGCTTGCTTCTTAGGTTTCTTTAACCTCTCTATCAGGTCCCTACCTTTTCTATTCCTGTCATTTATGTGTTGAAGAACTGAGACCTTGTCACACTATGGATTTCACTTCTGAATGTATTCTCATGGTATCAGTCACCATATTCACCTTCTCCACCTATCTGGTTAGATTAATTTCTATGGTATGACTGAAATATGGGAATCGGAAGGCTTATTCTCCCTTTGACATCATGAAAGATTTCTCACTGCTTTCTGAGGATTCATCTGTTTTTCAGTTGTTTCCTCTTTGCATTTCATTTTGAATAGCAATTTCATATGTTCAAATTTGTGGATGTGTTCTGCAGTATCTAAGATGCTTTCAGTGCCATCCAGCATGATTTTCATTTCTAGAAGTTTTATGTGGGTCTTTTTTATCCTTCTGTTTTCAGTTGTCACATGCCCCATTTTCCTATAAATATTTGATCATGTGGAATATGATTATAGTTGCTCATTGTTCTTGTCCATATTTCTGTCATCTGTATAATTTCCAAGTTAGTTTTCAGCTTTTTCTGTCTTATTTATGAATTGTATTCTTCAGCTTCTTTTGATTCCTGATGCCTTCTTTAGATTTATTCTTATTTTCGTTTATGTATGTGTATCTGCATGTGTTTATGTGCACCATGTACATGCAGTGCCTGCAGAGAGCCACAGAGTATTTGATCCCTGGAATTTTGGAGTTACAGGCAGCTCTGAGCTGCCTGCTGTGGATGCTGGAAACTGAACCTGGGTCCTCTAGAAAAGGAGTAAGTGCTCTTAACCACTGAGCCATCTCTCCAGCCTGAACGCCTGATACTTTTAATTGCCAGTCAGACTTTGTATATTTTGTTAGATGCTGGATATTTCTGTCTGCTGTAACTGTTCTTGGTCTTTGAGTTTGTTCATTTCAGGTCTGTTAAGTGTACTATGCAAGATCATAGCAGCATTTAGACCTGGGCTGATTCCACTTGGTACTGCTTGTCTCTCAGCAGTTATGTCTGTTCATCTGTCCAGTGAAAAGAATGATTTCTGCCAGGCATGGTGGCACATGCTTTTAATTTCAGCACTGGGGAGGCAGGTGGATTGATATGAGTTTGAGGCCAGCTTGGTTTACATAGTGAGTTCTAGGTCATTCAGGGCTGGATAGTAAGACCTTATCTCTAAAACAAAACAAATAAGAAAAAGGATGAATTCCCATTCCTAGATTTCTGTGTGTCTCAGTCTTTGTTTCCTGTGGCCCTTCCCTCATGAGTACTTGATTTTAGACTTGGCAAAGGAGAACTCTCATAGTTACCTCAATTTGGGTATTCTCTCCTATGATCTTTGTCTGCCTAGATTTCCTCATCCCCTGCTCTAGTCTCCTTGACTTAGGAAAATTTGTACTGCATTCTTCTTTCCCACTATGGCTTAGGAATTCTTTCAAAGCAATAAACTGGGCAGTCTTCATGTTTAGCTCTTTGTGCCTTGTCCCTCAGGGATCACTGTCTTTTGTTGGATGGTAGCCGAAAACTTGAAAAATGTTTCATGCAGCATATCTATTTTTTGTTATTGTTTTAGATGGAGAAGTAAATCCAGTCTCATATCCTCTTATCTTGCCTAGAACCAGAATCACATTTCCCTCTCTTTCTCCCCCCCCCCCCCCCCCGCCTTTTCTGGTGTTTATATATCCCCCTTTGGCTGGCAAGGAACTGTTGCAGTTGTCCCGTGTCCTTTTGATATGGCCTCAGCATTCACTGTATCTCCTTGTTTTCTACTGTGCCAGGTTGCCCTATCTTAGAATTGGCTGGAGGTGATTCTTCTGTTGAAAAAGTTTTGGAAATTATTAGAGATAGCATATAATGCCAGGTATGGTAGCTCATACCTGAAATATGTATATATAGGAGGCTGAGTCAAAGGACTGCCATGAGTTCAAAGCTACCCTTGGTTGCAGAATGAGAAACTGTCTCTGTTAAGAGTAGTAGCTGTGTCCGACGGTCGTGGTGCATGCTTTTAATCCCAGCACTCGGGAGGCAGAGGAAGGTGGATTTCTGTGAGTTTGAGGCCTGGTCTACAAAGCTACCCAGAGAAACTCTGCTTCAAAAAAACCAAAACAACAACAATAACAACAACAAAAAGAGTACTGGCTGCTCTTCAGAGGACCTGGGTTCAATACCCAGCACCCACATGGTAGCTCACAACTGTCTGTAATTGCAGTTTCAGTGGAGCCAAAACCCTCACACCTCACACAGTCATACATGAAGGCAAAACACTAATGCTCATAAAATAAAAATAAATTAAAAGCAAAACAAAACAAAAACAAAGAAACAACCCAAAAGTGATAGACAGATTTGTGGTATAGCTCGGTCGCTTGCCTAGAATAAACTGAGCATGGTGGCACGTACCTCTAATTCCACCACAGTGGCTCAGGGTCATCTGTGGCTATATTTCCAGCTCAGAGCTAAAACAAAGCAAAACAACAGCATGTAATTTTCAAAATGTTAATCCTTTGTCTGTGTCAAAACCAGAAAAATAAAACAAAACTTATATTTCTGCTGTTTATGCAATATAAAAAATGTTTTAAGTAAGATTTTACATCCCTTACCTATGTTATTAAAATGTCCTTATTTAGATTTATATATTTTATTTTATGTAAGTGTTTTGCCTGCATGTATGTTTGTGTACCATGTATGTGCCTACTTCCCACAGAGGCCAGAAGGCATTAGATTCCTTGAAATTGGAGTTCTAGATAGTTGTAAGCCATTATATGGGTGCTGGGAATTGAACCAAGGTAATTTGGAAAAGCAACAAGTACTTTTAACTGCCAAGACTTCTCTCAGCCCCAGAATGTCCTGTTTTTGTTTTTGTTTTTTTAATAAAAATGTAATGTTAATAACCCTTTTAAATTCAAAATTCTCATTCTGTTTACTAAACACCTCTGATATGCAAGTGATAGTATAAGATCCATGGATAGAGCGGGAACAAAAAGAAACAGGGCTCAGTTATAAAATTTTGTAAATAGGATGGAAACTAAGGAAGATTTGTCTATACTGTGTAACTAAGACTAAGACAATGATGAAAGTTCTGAGGGGGGAAAAAAAACAACAAAACTCATGGTGGTATCCGATGCCTTTAATCCAGTACTTAGGAGGCAGAAACAGGCAGATCTCTGTGGGTTTGAGGCCAGCCTGGTGTACAGAGTAAGTCCCAGGACAGCTAGGACTGTTTCAAGGGAACCCTGTCTTGAAAAACCAAAAAATAAAATAAAACATCTCATGTTTCTGTAGAGATCACCTCTTTATGTTTTGACTTGGTGTCCATCTCCAGAATGTTTTTGGAAATACACACTACTTGCTTGTAATACTGCTGTACTGTAGAGCCCAGCATGTGCCATTACCAGTTTTTCTCCAGTATCTTCTGATTTCAAATAGCTATAGCAAAAATAACTAGAGGAACTGTGAACATTATTTCAAAATCGTGTATTTATTATATACGTTTGGTGCATACCTGTAATCCCTGCACTCAGAGGGCAGAGGTAAAGAGGGTTGAGGTGTTCATCATGGTTTCTGTGGTGGTGAGAGAATGAAGAAAAAAATTACAAACACAAACACAGAAAAGCTGGGGTTGGGTGGACTAGGCTCTTTGTAGAAACTCCAGCATCTCAGAAGCTCAGCATGTTTACAGTTGAATAGAGACAGTTATTGCATACAGCTACTAAAGGAGATGGACTTATCACATACAGATAAACAAGAAGGCCAGGTTTATGGTAGATAGTTGAACAAGGAGGCAGGTTTAACTCATCTAGGCAGGAACAGTCTTCAGACTGTAAACATGGGAAGGGAGAGGCTAGGACAGATGTTTTCTTCACATACTATCCCGTGGATGAAAAGGCTTTGCCATTACCCTGAGGTTGGGAGAGTGGGTGCCATTTTCTCATGGGTTTATGACTCTGAGGTCCTTGACATGCCTATGCCCATGTCAACAATACACTTTTACACAAGACTCACTCAGTACCTCCTCTGCAACCCACAGAGGCTCAAAAACTTAGTACCCTAGAAATACCATAGAAAGACTTTTTCAAATGGTCAGAGAAAATGTGTGTATCTTTGGAAAAGATTCTGTTAGAATATATACAACAATAAAATAATATCTATTTAGAGTATTTGCATAGAAGAATGAAAGAAAATGTTTGCTTATGGTTTTTTATCATGTAAGAGTAGAAATATACTTTGGATAATTTTATCTTGCCATCAGTATAATTTTAGAATGTTCTTAAATGTAGCTTGTTTTTCATAGAAAAGTTAAACTCCCCTGGGAAAGTTGTTACATCACCAAGAAAGCTTCCTCCATCATCACCAAAAGGAAGTGGGCAGAAGCGAGCGCTTCCCCCTAAAACTTTGGCAAATTACTTTAAAGTATCCTCCAAATCCAAAAATAGTGAAGAAGTCGGAACACTCATGGGAAATAATAAAGGTAAACATTAAGTTAACAAAGTAAATTAACCTTGATGCATGAAACTGTATTTCATGTGGTCCACTGCTGTTTATTAAACCGCAGTCATGCTAATGATCCCAGTTATAACAGTGTCATTAGTGAGTAAGATTTGGTATGGGAGTTGAGTTTGTGGGTATATCTATTGTTTTATAAAAGGGAGTTTTGCCAGGTGTGGTGGTGCATACCTTTAATCTAGCACTTTGGAAGCAGAAACAGGTAGATTTTTGTAAACTCAAGGCCAGCCTGATCTACATAGTGAAATCCTGTTTAAAAAAAAAGAAGAGTTTTAGCTAAAATGTTAACATTGTATTTATGTAGGAATCAAAAATTCTTTGGAACAGAGGCAAATTATTCATACTAAATCAACAAATGCAAATAATTCAAATGGTAAAGAATTTGGAGCTGAAGAATCCAACAGAAAGAATGCAACATCTCTCATTCTCTTTGAAGAGGTAGGTTTGCAGGGCATTTACTGTGAGGTTCATAGTGGAAACTTATTTTAAAAGATTACTATGTATTTTCTTTGTATAATAAATCCAAATTTAAAATAATATTTCTTTTTTTAAAGAGTGGTAATTTTTTGTGTTTTTTGTAACATTTTCTCTGCATTATTTTCTTTTATGTGTATGGATTTTTATTAAAAAATAATTTCTTTAATTTTATTGATGTGAGTGTGTCAGATCCCCTGGAACTGAGTTACAGACAGGTGTGAGCTGCCATGTGGGTACTGGGAATTAAACCTGGGTCATCTGGAAGGACAGCCAGTGCTCTTAACCACTGAGCCATCTCTCCAGTCCCATATGTGGATGTTATGTCTATATACCGTGTGTGTGAGTGTCACCCTAGGAGGCCCGAGGATGGTGTTGGATCCCTTGGAACTGGAGTTACAGATGATTGTGAGCTGCTATGTGGGTGCTGGGAATTGAACCCAGGTCCTCAGAAAGAGCAACTAATGCTCTTAACCGCTAAGCCATCTCTCCAGCCCTTTCTAGAATAATTTTAAGATGATTAACATAATTCATACTGATTGTTAACAAAACAACTATAGAAGTCATTGCAACTCATATCTAGCCAGTTATTGCATTTATGTTTTATTTAGTTTGTTTGCTTGGTTTTTTTTTGTTTATTTGTTTTTATTTGTTTTGGATTTATTTAATTTAATTTTTGAGACAGGGTGACAGGGTTATATGGAACAGCCCTGGCTGTTCTGGAACTTGCTTTGTAGTCCAGGCTGCCGTCAAACTCACAGAGATCTGCCTGCCTCTGCCTCCTGAGTGCTGGGATTAAAGGCATGCTCCACCACTGCCTGGCTTTTACTTAGTTTTAATGTTTACTGTTACCATCTTTTTTGTTGTTTTGTTTTGGTTTTTTGAGACATGGTTTCTCTGTGGCTTTGGAGGCTGTCCTGGAACTAACTCTTGTAGAGCAGGCTAGTCTCGACCTCACAGAGATCCGCCTGCCTCTGCCTCCCAAATTCTGGAATTAAAGGCATGCACCACTACCACCCATCTACTGTTATCATCTTAAAACTTTTTTTATGGTATAAGACATAAACTTTTCCCCAGGCAGTGGAAGTGCATACCTTTAGTCCCAGCACTCAGATGGCAGGATCAAGCAGATTTCTGAGTTCCAGACTAGCCTGGTCTACAGAGTGAGATTCAGGACAGCCAGGACTACACAGAAAAATCCTGATTTGAAAAACCAAAAATAAACAAATAAATAATTTTCAGCATGGATTCAATTCATACTTTTCAAAAATTAATCAGTGTTGACTCAGACATAGTTTGTGTACCATATACATCTCTAGGTGATCTGAACATGAGTATATTGTTATTCTTCACTAAATTAATATTCTAATGAATGGTTTGTAGGTTGATGTCATTTTTGATGAAGATGCTGGGTTTTTGAATGCAGTCAAAACATTCATGGCAACAACTAAACGACCAGTAGTTCTTACTACAAGTGGTATGTAACAATAATTTCAGTACAGTTTATTTTTGTTGAAGTATTTTGGGAGAGCTACTAACTTTAAACTTGAGTTTAATAAAGCATGGTGTGCACTGGGGAGATGGCTCAGCAGGTCTAGTGCTTTCCAGACAAGTCTATTGACCTGAGTTTGATGCCTGAAATCTACATAAAGGTGGAAGGAGAGAACCAATTCCATAGGGTTTTCCTGTTGCTTCTGAATGCTTATGTATATACCTACCACACAAAACACAAACACTAATAATTGAGTGATATTTTAAAGCAAATGGGGGTTCTGGAAAGATGGCTCTCCAGGTTAAGAGCACTCATTGTTCTTGCAGAGAACCTGGGTTCAGTTCCCAGCACCCACATGACAGCATACTACTGTCTGTAACTCAAGTTTCCGGGGACTTAATGTCCTCCTCTGACCTCCCCAGGCACCAGGCACTTACATGGGACACACACATAAATGCAGGCAAAACACTCAAACACATAATAAATTTAGAAAGCTTTTTTTTTTCCTTTTCAAAACAAAGCATAATGAATCTGTAATTCCAGTACTCAGGGGGCAGAGGCAGGAGAATCCCCACAAATTTGAGGCTAGCCTAATGTCTGTAATAAATTACAGGCCAGCTAGTACTACATAGCCAAATCCTCTGTTAAAACTAAACAAACAAAAGCAATCTTATCAAGGCTACCTTGAGAAACCCCAAAACACCAAAAAAAAAAAAAAAAAAAAAAAAAAAAAAAGAAAGAAAGAAAGAAAGAAAGAAAGAAAAGAAAATCATAGATCATAGGTTAATGAAACTATAGTCTCCCTTCATGTGAGAGGGATATTTCCACACCCACCCCATGGATGCTAGACATTTCAAATAGTGCCACACTGTATATATATATCTTGCCCCCCATATATACATACTTAGAACGCTAATCATAGTTAGAAATTAACAACTAATTACCAAGAGAACAGTTAAAACACTTGTTAACAATTGTAAATGTAAGGACCTGGAGAGTTGTCTCAACACTTAAGATCACTCCAAAAGTATCAGATCTCCTCGAGCTGAGGTTATAGTCAGTTGTGAGCTATCTGATATGAGTGCTGGAAACTAAACTCCAGCCCTCTACAAGAGCAGAATGCACTATGGCCACTGGACCATCTCTACAACTCCTGTTCTTCAATTACCTATGAAATGCTAGATGTTGTCATAGAAAAGTATAACTGGGAAAAGTTATTTAGTGATCCCTTTTTTTAAAAAAAAAAAATGTCATTTCCTACAGATCCCACATTTAGTTTATTGTTTGATGGCTGCTTTGAAGAAATCAATTTCAATATTCCTTCCCTGGTAAGTTTTGAATTTTCATGATCATAGATTATATGTACCACAATTATGCAAAAAATAACTTTTAAATTAAATTTATATTTTGAAATGTGCTTTTTAAAGGGAAATGTTAAAGTGTCTGAGTTTAGGGAACGTGTGGCTATTTCCTTTTTTTGCTTTAAAATAATATTTTTCAGATATTTTAAGTTTTCTATATATTCTAATACTCCTTTTTGGGTTTGTTTTGTTTTCCTTTGAGACTGCCATACTATGTAACATTGGCAGGCTTGAAACTCTATGTAGATCTGGCTGTCCTTCAATTTGCAGAGATTCACTGCCTCTGCCTCCTGATTGCTGAGACTGGAGCTAAACCTTGCACTTTTCTGAGTGCTGATATTCATAAGAGGCCGATGTAATCACAGTCTAGACCTGAGTAGAAAACTGCCTCTCTCTTTGCTTCTGAAGGCCTGACTATGTGCTCCTCACAGGCAACATGACCCACAGGATTGTTGTAAGGATTTTACAACCTAAGAACAGGGTGAATACTTGAAACTATTAAGTTCATGGTATTAACCTTGTGTGTAAATACCATCTTAAACAATAAACCTACTTGTGTTTTTAAAGTTTTTTTAAGATTTATTTTGTTTTTATGTGTGTGACTATTTACATGTATGCATAGGCAGGATGTACATGGTTGGTGCCTATGGAGGTTAGAAGAGGATGTTAGATCCCCTGGAACTAAAGTTACAGATGGTTGGGAACCACCAGGAGAGTGCTACTGACTGAACCCTTCATCCTCTGCTACAAGTGTTCTTAACTTCTGAGCCTCTTCTCTAGCTTATCCCCCCAACCCCCCTTAACGTTTATTTTAGCTGACATTATGGTACACACCTTTACTCCCAGCACTCGGAGGCAGAGGCTTACTTATTCTGTGTGTAAATGTATTTATATGGGATAGGTACACTTGTGTGTGACATGACAAGTGTGTGGAGGTCAGAGGACAGCTTTTAGGAGGAGATGGGTTTTTGTCACTAACCATGTGGGTTCTGGGAATTGAACTCAGACTGTCAGACTTGTTAAGGGCTGTTAGCCTGAACCATCTTACTTAGAGAGATGTCCCTGCATAAGCTACGTTCAGTTTTCGAGGCAAGATCTGAGGTAGTCCAGGTGGCTTTGAATTTAATGTATAGCCAAGAATGAACAGGCCTTTGCCACCAAACCTGGTTTATGTGGTGCTTGGGATGGAACGGAACCCAGGGCTTGTTTTTGTAATAGCATCCTTTATAGGCCATACTGGCCTCAATCTAACTGGGTAGTTGAATATGACCCCTGGTCTTCTCTCAAACATTTTCAAAATAATGGGATAACAGATGTATGTTACTTTACTGAGGTTTTTAGGATGTTGAGCCTCCTTTTTTTCCCCTCTCTTCTCCTCTGTTGGTGACTGAATCCAGAGCTTTGCATGTGGAACACTCTGTCAGAGGCTACAGTCCTTGGATTTTTGCAGATAGTCTTACTATTTATCCCAGACTGTCCAGAACCTGTACTCCTCCTCCACCTTCCCAATGCTAGGGTTATAGGTATGAACCACCATGCACAGCTGTTTAGTGTCTTTTCAAGGGTCCTCTGACTATCTATACTTCTTTATTGAACTATAACTTCAAAGTTTTGAGAAAGGTTGCATGGGGGTGCTGCTGAGGAATGAGTCCTGAGCTCTATGCCTGCCAGTCAAACACTGTAACTGAGCTGTATGTACTCCCAGCTCCTGTTCAGAAGTTTTGTTTCTTGCTTTAATTAGTTATTTGTTTACTGAATTGAGGCGGTTTTTAAAAATAGTGTAGGTATGTTTACATTAGATTTATGTCTTATAAATGATTTTTCCCAGTTAATGGCTTACCTTTTATTTTGGTTGTAAGGTGAACATTTTTAATTTTAATAAAATGACATTTAGCAGGTTTTTATTTTATAGTTTGTGGTTCTATATCCCATTTAAGCTTTTAACAATTCTGCCTATGCAATTTTATAATAGCTTTTTTACTTATGTCTAAAACATGTTTAGAGCAAAATTTTATAAGATGATTTGTTTTCTTATAGATATCTAATTGTGCAAACATTATTTATTCAAAGTACCTCTTTTGTTTTGTTTGAAGACTTATTATGTATATGTACTGTGTTCCTCCTGAATGTACCTCTGCAAACCAGAAGAGGGCACCAGATCTCTTTATGCATGGTTGTGAGCCACCATGTGATTGCTGGGAATTTAACTCAAAACATCTAGAAAACCAGCCAGTGCTCCTAACCACTGAACCATCTTTCCAGCCCCCTCGTTTTTGTTTTGAGGCAGGGTTTGTCTTACAGATATCCACTTGCCTCTGCCTCCTGAGCACTGGGATTTAAGGTAGACACCACCATGCCAGGCTTCAAAGTACCTTTTCCAAATTGTATAAGTTACATTTATTTATTGTGTGTGTGTGCCCGTGGTGCACGTGCGGAGGTCAGATGATAGCTTGCAGGAGTTGTTTCACTTCTCCTATCATGTGGGACTTGGGGATAGGAAGTTATAGTGACCACTGCTACGGTATGTTGTTTTTCCAACTATGCTTACTTTGATATATATGTGAGAATTGATGTTGGCTTGAACACTGTAACTATACCAAGTCTTGAAGTTAAGGACTATAACTTCTCTGTTACTTTGCAAAATTGTTTTGACTGTTACAGCTATTACTCATTTCTCTGCTAATTTTAGAAAGTATTGTCAAGTTTTATAGTTTATTCTGGTGTCGTCTTAGAATTTCATTGACTTTGTAATCAAATTTGGGACAATAGACACTTGGTAATACTGAATTTTCTAATTAATGGTCATTTTGCTTAGGGGCAGTATTCATTTTTCTCAAATTTGTTTGTTGGTTTAGTTTTTTGATATAGGGTCTCTATATAGCTGTGGCTGTCCTTGGCTTTATGTGGCTGCCTTACTTTACTCGACATAGGTTTGTATATTTTGCAGCATCTGTGTTGGCTTCAAACTCAGTTTGTAGCAGAGGATGACCTTGAATTCTTGGTCCTCTTTTTTCCCCCCCTCTCTCAAAAGTTAGTTTATAGGCTGGGATTACTGGCATGGGCCACCACACACACCTGGCTCTTTTTTATTTCTTTCTCATGCTTTATTCATTGACGATGACATCAATGTCACACTAAGTAGAGGTGTTGGCAGTGGACAATTGTACCTGTTTATTAGTACAACCTTAGGAAGTGATCACTATTACTATTGGCCACAAAGTTAGCTGTAGGGTTTTTTTTTTTTTTTTTTTTTTTTTTTTTTTTGTACATTTTGGTAGGATAAAGGATATTCCCTATTAATTCGATTTTAAAAGAATTTTTTTTATAAAGAATAAGTGCAATGTAGCAAGACTGTCTCAAGAAAGAAAATCATATTGGAATTCTGATAAAATAAAAGAAGGTTGCTATCCATTAAGTTCTAATACATCAGATATTTAATATTGTCCCTTCTGTTTTATATTTGCAAACATATATGCTTCTATGAACTTGATAGTTTCCTAATTTTTAATTTTAAAATTAGAAAAGTATAATTCAGTATAGTTATAATATTTATCATTTTAATGGCTATAAAATATCCTGTCAAGTAGCTAAGTATAGTGGTGGTAAGTATAGAGAAAGAGGAAGGTGGATCTTTGTGAGTTGGAGGGCAGTATCGGTTTACAGAGTGAGTTCCAGGACAGCCAAGGCTATATAGAGAGGCCCTGTCTCAAAATTCAAAAAAGGTGTCTGTGTGTGGGTAGGGGGATCCTGTCCTGTGTACCATTATTTAATCCAACTCTATAAAACTGCCTGCAGTGTTCAAGTTAGAGAATTTTGTATAAGTTTGCTTGCCAGGTTGAATGTGGTGGTATACACCTGTAGTCCCAGCATCCAAGAGGCAGACTCAAGGAGGATCATGGGTTTGAGGTCTGCCTGGGCTACATAGCAAGAGCCTGCTTAAAACAACAACAAAACTAAGTATAGGAGAATACACTGGTAATCCTAGCATTTGGGAGGTAGAGGCAGGAAAATCAGAGGCTCAAGGCCAGCCTGGGTTGTATAAGATTCTGTCTTAAACACACCAACACACAGTTTTTTGTTGTTGCGGTCCTGAACTATATACAATCAGCACAAGAAGAATGTATACATAAATACTTTTAATTTGGTGGTATATGCTGTTATATTTTTCTAGAGAAATTTCATTCTCAAAAAGTTTTAAGATATTGTGGATTTTAACAAAATTATTCATTGATGTGCAGGATTATTATTCCATTTCTGACAGTTATGTAAGTAACTGTGTCTTTCTGTCCCCCTGTCTCATTTTTCTGTTTTTAAGCTAAATGTTGCCAGCTATTTACAAGTGATCTGTTTAGTTGAGAATTTCAGAACTGACTTAAAAGACTTTGTAACCTTGTTGACTGCAAACTCTTGTGACATCAGGAAAAGTATCCTTTACTTACAGTTTTGGATTAGAAGTGGAGGTGGAATTTTAGAAGAAAGGCCATTATCACAGTGTGGTAAGTAGACTGTCATGAGAAATTGTTCTTAGACCATTGTTTTGACTGTTACAGGTATTATGGAACCATATTCTTAGATATATACTCTATCAAAATATTTTTAAAATTGTAAATTAAGTGGCCAACTATCTAATTTTAAAATACTTGCACATATATCTACTTTTTTTTAAAAAAAAAATAAAGATTTTAAAAACATCAACTAAGTAAATAGTCCAGTGAGGTATTGCACACCTGTAATCCCAGCAACCTGGAAGCAAAGGCAAGAGGATCAGAAATTCAATGTCTTATTGGTCTGTATAATAAAATCAGGGACAGCCTGGGCCAAATAACACCTCTAAAAAACAAAAAAAAAACAAAAAAAAAAAAATGCAAATAGATTGAACTCACAAAAATAAAAAGGAAAAAACAAATTTCCAAAGTCCAGGATTGTAATACATGCCAGTAATACTAATTTTGTAGTCTCTCAACAAGGTAAAATATCCCATAGATAGGTTTTATTTATTTCTTCTTTTTTTTTTTTTTTTTTTTTTTTTCCCCTTAAATCACACTTCTCAAACCCCTGGAGGCCAGAGAATCAAGAGTTGAAGGTCATCCTTGTCTCCATAGCAAGTTTAGAGTAGCCTGGACTCCATGAGACCCCCATCTCAAAAACACTCCCAACTATTGCATATCCATTTATGGACATATAGTTTCTTACAAAACTATAGTTACCACTTAGCAACTTCCTTTTTTCCTGGCACATACTCGTGCCAGGTGTGGTGGCATACTTTGTAATCCTGGCACTTGGGAGAGCAAACAGGAGGATCAAGAGGTAAAGGTCATCCTTGACTACACTGAGTTCAACCTAGACTGTGGGAGACCCTGCCTTGACCAAAGCACAAAAACTATATTAGTGACCTTTGTGTTGGTATAGCTGTATCTCATTCTTTTTATGTGATCATTCTTAGGGGCGGTGTTGTTTCTTTTGTCTGTGAGAGTGGAATATACATGTTTGTGTGCACCTGTGACTTCCTCAATCTCAGAGCTTTTTTTAATATATATATTGGACATATAAACTTAGGTCTTCATGCTTGCAAGGATTTACCTACTGAGCCATCTCCCTAGCCCTTTTTATTTATTTGTTTCTTTCTTTCTTTCTTTCTTTTTTTCTTTTTTTCAAGGTAGGATTTCTCTGTATAATAGCCCTGGCTGTCCTGGAACTTACTTTGTAGATCAGGCTGCCTTGAACTTAAAGAGATCCTCCTGCCTTTCAAGACAGTGTTTCTCATTGTAGCCCTGGCTATCCTAAAACTCACTCTATAGATCATGCTGGCCTTGAACTGGCAGAGATCTGCATGCCTCTGTCTTATGAGTACTGGGATTGCCTTAGTAGTACCCAGCTTTGTCTTTATGTTTTAAGTTTCATGTATGCATTTATTTATTGGTGGAGATCAGAGGACAACTTGTAGGAGTCTTCTGTGGGTCCCAGGGCCCAAACTCAGATTGTCAGTTTGGCAGCAAGCACGTTTATCTACTCAGTCATCTCACTGGCCCTGCTTTGGCTTTTAGACAGGATCCCATGCAGCTCAGACTTGTGCAACCATACTGGTTTATATTTCTTGTATTATATTTAATAGTTTCTAATTCTGATTTTCCTAAGAGCTTGGTTTCAGAAATATTTTTTTCTCACATGTATAATTTTTTTTACTTTCTACTGCTCTACAGTTACTGTTGTGCCCTACATCTGGCACAAGCAGTTATTGATGACTTCCTCCATTCCAGGTCCTGTGTTTTCAGGATCAGTCATCCATGCTTCTTCCCAGGGGAAGTTGTCAGTTTGTGTGTTGACTGCTCCGTGGTCACAGTTCTGTTGGGATAGATCCTGGTCACATAGTCACATAAAACCTAGGGGAACAAACAAGAAAGGAAAAATGAAAAAAGAATACTATGAAGTTCTATAAAATTAATCCCTTTCATTTTACTCTTTAATTAGTTCAAAATTTAAGCATTGTTTTTCAAAATAGATGTAGCCATACTTTTTATTTAGTGTAAGCTGGCAGCTTTAACAAACTCTCAGAAGATCAATATCATAAATAAGACATGAAAGAAAACATCCTAGTATGTGTGTGATGACATACACCCTTGGGCAGCAGAATCAGATGTTCAAGGTTTTATACCCAAGGAATGACAGCTGAAGTTGTCTTCTGACCGCCAAACACACAAAGAAGTTCAAGGTTATTCCCTGGGCTGAATGAGATCCTGCCTCAATGAAATGATAAAATAAAATAGCCCTAGTATAAACAAGAAATAACAAAAATAAAAGATAGGCTTGAATCATTTCACTTAGGTATTTTTTAATGTATTTTTTTTTATATATTTATTATTTTTTCTTATTTTACATATTGATCCCAGTACCCTCTCCCTCCCTCCCATGCTCCCCCACCCCACCCCCTTTCCTATCTCATTCACACACACACACACACACACACACACACACACACACACACACTCCACAGGGAGGGTGATGCCTTCCAGGAGGGATCATCAAAATCTGTCAAGTCACTTGGAATAGGGACTAGGCCCTCCCTCCTGCCTCTAGGCTAAGGGAGTATCCCTCCATGGGGAATGTGCTCCCAAAGTCCTTTTGTGCATCCTGGTGCCACTGTCAGAAGTCCCTTAGACTGCCCAGGCCTTCTAAATGAGACCCATGTTCAGTGGGTCTGAGTTGGTACAATGCTGATTTCCCAGCTATCAGTCTGGGGATCCATGAGCGCACACCCCCACCCCTCCACCCCCTGTCTCTGTAGGTTTCTGTAGCCTGGTCTTGACCCCATTTTCTTATCACTCCTCCCTCTCTGCAACTGGATTCTAGGAGTTTGGCTCAGTGTTTAGCTGTGGGTGTCTACTTTTGTTTCCATCAGCTACTAGATAAGGGCTTTATGATGGCATATAAGTTAGTTATCAATCTCATTATCAGGGAAGGGTATTTAAGGTAGCCTTTCCTCTGTTGCTCAGATTGTTAGTTGGGGTCAGTCTTGTAGGTCTCTGGACATTTCACTATAGTCAGTTTTCTCTTCAAACCTATAATGGCTCCCTCTATTCTGTTCTCTCTTTTTTTCTGCTCTAGTCTATTTGTCCACTTAGGTATTTTTCAAGTGATGAATTACGTTGTGTTTATAATGTAGTGAATACACCGGCGGAGAACAAAAGGGAGTAAAGGTTGGAGGATGTTGGGCAGGAGCACCTCTTCAGAACTTGTGCTTTGTTTCATACAGTTCCTTTAAAATACATTTGCCTGAGATTTGTCTTTATTAATTTTTTAGGAGGAAATAGCAGAAATGAACTGATTTGCTCTGAAGATGGTACTGGTGCAAAAATTAATTCTAAAAACAGCAGAAGAAACCGTGTAGCCCTCCCCAAATGTGACACTGGCTGTACAGAGGCTTTGTTTGGACTCAAGAACATTGCCTCCCCATCCCAAGACTTATTTTCATTTTTAAAGGTATTTTCCACATCTGTGTGGAATGTTGAATTCATGTTCCTGTCCCTTTCAGTATTTACCCTGTGTTTTGAATATTAGTTCAACTTAAAATACACTTAACATTTTCTAGACTTTAGATGTGAGATTTTAACTCATTTGCCTATGTTGATAAATGGTGCATAGGCATAGATTTAAAAGCATAGTATGAGGGCACTAGAGAGATGGTTCAGCAGTTGAGAGCACTGGCTGCTCTTCCAGACCTCCTGAGTTCAATTCCCAGCACCCACATGTGGCTCACAGCCATCTATATTGAGATCTAATGCTTTCGCAGGCATACATGCAGATACAGCACTCACATACATTAAATAAATAAATCTTTAAAAAAAATACATAAAAGGTAGAAATACATAGAAGTAATCCTATATACCTAAGGGTGGGAAGATGTCTAAACTAGGTACTCTTAAATCTCTTTACTCAAAATTGCTTTTCAGCACAAGATCACAGCAAAAGAAGAATGGCATAAATTCATCCAGCTCCTTACAGAATTCCATATGCAAAAGATAGATGTATTATATAGTAATCTTGAATTCATCCTGCCATTGCCAGTTACTGTCATCCCAGAAGTAAAAGATGCTTATGGCTTCCCAGTGACTACAGAAGCCAGTGCACCAGGAAGCATGGAACATCTTCTCAGGAAGCAATCAGAAGACCAGCTATTAAAAAAGTCACAGAAAAAGAAACAGAAAAAAATGGTGACCCTAGATGACAGTGACTTATTTGACACTGGATTGGACTTTTCTGATGAACTGAATAGCTTATCTTCTGTGCCTTCCTCAGCTTTAGAAGATGTCACAAGTAGAAACAGAGAAGGCAATCCAGAGACACAGACACAAAGCAAATGTTTCACATCTGACTCTGTGCCTCAGCCTCCTAAGACACCTGCAGAGAAGAAGTGTTCTGTGCTCATTTCCCACTGTTTAAATTCTCTTACTGAGTTCATGGAGAACATGTCCTTCTTAGATGCCCTTTTAACCAACGCAGGGGAACGGAATGAATTGGGTAAAAATCCTTTTCACTGGACAAGCGGAAAGGTTAAAAGTGGACTTTGTGATGAGTTTAGTATTGAGAGCAGAGATGGGTGGGCTCCTTGGAGCTCTGAAGAATTAAAAGCAACTGCAGAAGCTCTCAGCTTTACCAAATGCTCTTCTAGCATTTCAAAAGCACTGGAGTCCTTGAATTCGCACAAGTATTTAGGGAGTGATGCAGTCAGTAAGCTCAGTTTCTGTGTTTCACAAAGGTGCAGCAATGTATGCTTCCGCCAGTCAGCAGCTAATCTAAAGTAAGTCTTGTTACTTTCTGTTTTTTCAGTAATCAATCTAATTTTAAAATGCTGGGCTATTGATTATGAGAAATGCTTAGTGTTAATATAGCTTCTCATACAAGTTGAAGAGATTACTGAGAAAAGTAGCTTGAATGAATTTGGGAAACCTAAGTGAGGGTGTTGGTGCACACCTTTAATTCAAGTACTCAGGAGGTAGAGGCAGACAGATCTCTCTGAGTCCAAGGCCAGCCTGGTCTACAGAGTGAGTTCCAGGACAGCCAGTGCTACACAGAAAACTCCTGTCTTGGGAAAGAAAAACATTGGGTGACAGAGGAGTTTAGAGTTGTGACAGGTAAAAGGTAACCATTAAGATGTTTCACTGTCACCCCAGTCATGGTGGCACATGTTGGCAATCACAGCACTTGGGAGGTAGAAGCACAAGGATCAAGAGTTTGAAGCTAACCCCAGCTACATGAGATCCTGTCTCTAAACAAAAATTGTCAATATGAAGTTGAATATAGCGGTGTAAGACTGAGTTTGAAGTCAGGCTGAGCTATGTGGAATTCTAGGCCAGTCTGGATATATAAGACAGTGACCTATACTTTCCGCAGGCAATTAGAAGTGTCATTTGGTGCAGATCAGAAGCAGGAACACTGGTTACATTTAGGTTGTTACATTTTTATGTACAAAATACCAAAAAATAATGCTTTCTCTTAATTTGTAGCAATGCTGACAAGAGGATGGCAGTCATTAAAAGAGTATTTTCTAGCCGATCTCTTCTGAGTGTGGGTAATAAGCAAGCTAGTATAATTGACTACCTGCCAACTCTTCGGAACATTTGTCGGACAGAGAAGCTAAAAGAACAAGGGAAAAATAAAAGAAGGTAAAGTATGCTTTAACTTGTCAAGATTAATAAATGTGTTCTTGGTAATGAAGATACTGATATTAAATTGTTTTTATAATTTTGACAGGTTTCTGCACTACTTTGAAGGAATTCATCTTGATATTCCTGAAGAGGCTGTGACTGCTTTGGCTGATGACTTCCCTTGATGCTCCCCATCTTTAGTGCCCTGTACAGATGATGTGGTCCTTAAAACACACTAGATTATGTCTATTTTAAAGAAGAGCTTATTTCTCTTAATGTAAATTTTAATAGACTTTGTATTTTTGTGATTCAAATATTTAAAGTGAAAAAATTGGGTTACAAACTGTATATATGATTGTGGCATATTTTTTCCTGAATGTTTTGTATTACCTATTTTTGCTTTGTTGGTATACTTTCTGTATGTGTGAGCTGTATGTGTGTTCTGTATGTGTGAGAAGGTAAAGTTGTTTCAGTGCTGAGCTCATATGTTGTTTTCCCTTTCCTTGTATCCTTCCTCTGCTCTCCAGCATCAGAGCAGTACTGCCATGAATAGGTAGCACCCAGCCTGCAGGCCTAAAGTTACAAGGCATAAAACAATTACATACAGAGTAATTTTTAAGTCTACTAGGAAGGAAATTATGCATGTTTTGGAAAGCCTTGCGCTTCCTCTTGCCCTTATATCTTGTGCCCTCCTTCAGCATGTTTTACCATTTAATCATTGAGTCATTTGTGTTAGCAAAGTAAAGCATTCTGAAATCTAGCTTTCATCAACCTTTCTTATCAGTCCATGTAGGTAAAGTCTTGTGCATTTTGCCAAGTCAGATCATCTATACATTTTCAAGTACTTTTACATCATGTTTTCTTCAAAAATGGAATGACATTAATTTATCTATTTTGGACAAGTTTTTGATGGTTGAAGAAGTAATGAAGGATTCTGCCATGGGGTTTCTACCTAACAAGCTATTTCCATTTAAGTTTGGTTTTTTGGCTTTGTGGTGCTGAAGATTAAACCTAGGGTCTTTTGTGTTGTAGGCAAGCGTCCTATGTCTTAGTACATACGCAGTCTTGTTTTTGTAATTATTTGTGTGCTACAAATCAAACCCAAGGCCTTGTACATTCGAGGGACACTTAATCATAGAACTGGACCCTCCCACCCTGTTTTTGAAATGGGGTCTGGTTATAATGCTTAGGCTGCCTCTAAACTCCTTCCCAGCTTATGTGATCCTCTCTCAGCTTCTCAAGTACCTGGCAGCCATATGCTGCCACACCCAGGAAGGTCATGCATGGGTTTTTCTTTTTTTGTAAGTACCTGTTTTTACTTTAGTAACAAGATTTTTTAAATGTCACATTTTACTTAATGTTATTTTACAGTCAGATAATCAGGTATGTTTAAAATTGCTTCATATTATATATATATATATTTGTATAATAATACAATATTCAGGTACATTTTCTGATGAATTGTATTTTTAACTCAAAAGTTAAGGATCCTAGTTTTGTACTTTCTTAAAGTATAGGTGCATACCTGTTTACAAATGTGTGTGAAGATGTGTTTTTACCTCTTGTTCAACCTTCCTTTTCTTGTATTAATTAGCAAATTAATTAAAAGTTAAAGCTAAAAGCTTTAAGTGGTATTTAAATAGTTATGATCGTCTTAATGTACATGTATATTGAATACATTCAGATAAATGCTACAACTTAATAGATTTCTTTGCTGAACAAAAATGTGGTCAAAGCTTTTTAAAGATTTTTTTTTATATGTATTAGTGTTTTGCCTGTGTGTATGTATGTGCACCACATGCTTGCGGTGCTCAAAGAGGCCATTAGATACACTGGAACTGGAGTTAAAGATATTGGTTGTGTGCTGCCTGTCATGTGGGGGCTGGGAACTGTACCCAGGACCCCTTCAAGGGCAGCAAGTGCTCTTAACTGTTAAATCATCTTTCCAGGTCCTGAAGATTTTAAGTGTGTTTTCCTACAGTATCTACTGGAAGTGCTTGACCATCTCAACAACTGATGAACCAATGTAATTACATAAAACTGTTCAAGTTGGGGGCTGCAAAGATGGCTCAGTGGTTAAGAGTACCCACTGCTATTCCAGAGGTACTGAGTTCAAGTATCAGCAACCATATGGTATCTCACAACCATTTATAATAGGGTCTGATGCCCTCCCCTAGGGTATAGGCATATATGTAGAATACTCATATACATAAATATTTTTAAAAGCTGTTCAAGTTATTTAAACTCCCTCTTTAACTAGGTAGGACATGACTGTGTGGAGTTTCTTGCTTGAGAGAACATTTTTTCCCATCACTAGGTATCAAGCCTAGGTTAACAGTTTACTACCAAACTGCAACCTGTCCTTATGGGTTTTCCCCTTTTGTTTTTTGTTTTTTGTTTTTTTTTTTTTTTTAAATGTGGGGGCAGTTTGGCACAGATTTTTCACTGTAGTCCCAAACTGACCTCACACAATCTTACTCCTTGTTTGTCCTGAGTGCAAGAGATTACAGGTAGAACCATCTGCTCAGCTTCTTTTTCCTCTTATTAATTTTTAAATTTGTTTGTTTTCCAGGACAGGGTTTCTGGCTGACCTGGAATTCACTCTGTAGACCAAACTGGCCTAGAACTCAGATTCCCCTGCCTCTGCCTCCCAAGATGGATTAAAGGCATGTGCCACCATCACATAGCCTAAATTTATTTTTTAAACATTGGCATTTTATTTTTTTCTATGTGTTAGTATGTGTATCCTTTGTGTATGTGTGTATCAGAGTTTCTGGAACTGAACTTAAAGACAATTGTGAGCACCTGCAATGGCAGGCAGGAGTCAAACAAGTGTCCTCTGGAAAAGCAGCAAGTGCTATTAATGACCAAGACATCTTTCTACCCTGGTACTTGCTTTTAAATGGAGGTAACTTTTGACTGTGTGGGTGGCATCTTACTATGGGTGGCATCTTACTATTTAGCACTTAAACAAATAAGGCAAAGAATTTCACAAAATATTTATTGATTTGGTCTTTTCTCAAAAATACTATTTCACAGCCAAGATTCTCATTTTATAAACATACAAAGTATACACAAGATGTTTTCTTTTCCACTAACATGAAGGATGGGAACAGTTGGTTTAATAAATTAATATAACACTAGAGCAAGTGCATTATTATTGGAGCTCTGAGCCTTTGCCAAAAACTAATTCGTAAAAGGCAATAGCTTGCAACAGTGAATCATACAACTCTTCAATGTGGTGTGAGTCCTTCAGAATCTTCTGTCTATACTGTACTACTCGCTCCTGTGGGAAGACCACCCGAGGCTCCTCCTTCAGCACAGAGTCAGAGAGGAACTGTTTCACCAGATCTCTCCCACTAGTCCTTGTATCTCCGATCATCAGATCAAAGTGCTTGCCCACAACATTTCGATTCATGCTCAGCACCCGATGCTGGCCATCCTTTGCAAAAGTTTTGTTGAGTAAGGCATACAGCATGGCTTCCGTGATAAGAAAGTGTAACAGTATAGGAAACAGAGATGTGTTCTGCATGGAAGGGCCTGATTTTTCCAAAATGTAGAGATCTGCTTGAGGCATCTTGGAAATGACTGAAGAAATCTTTAAAAAAAAAAAAAAAAAACAGAAATAATTATGTTTTGTATTTGTCCCACTTCTGACAACCCTGGAAGAACAAAAGCTCAGGAAGAAGCTAAGATGAGCTCTTGTTCTGGCAGTCTCATCATCCCTGCTGGCTTCAGGCCTCAGTAACCCAAAACTTGACCATCGGAAATGTTCTGAAGAGGACTCGCACTAGCCAGGAATATCTGCTGGTGGCAAGGTGCTGGCCAAAGGCTCTTACTATATCATGCACTCACCAAGACAGCAGTTACTACGAATTCACATCTTGAAATTAAAGACATTTCTAAATTTTTTTAAATCTGTATAATTTTTTTATTTAAATGTTTCTAAATTTTTAAAATTTAGAATAACGCTGTAATAGGAGTAAAAAGGCACCCCATAGACCAGTTTAACTTTTTTGTTTTGTTTTCTCTTACATCCCTTTTGAAATTGCCAAACTAAACTGTACAAGGAACCATGTAGGAATGCACAAAACAGAAAATAAGGAGCAGGGACCAGCCATTGCCTTACCTCTTCCAGATAGACAGATGATGGGTATACTCTGTTCGTTAAATTCCAACACTCAGTCTGCTGCCAGTCCAGCACCTTGGGTTTTCGGTCAAGGTGAGCCCATGCAATTCTTCGAGTACCAAAAACAATAGATATGATACTACTAACTGCCTAAAGGAAAAAGGCTGATTTGATTATAAGTATAAATATCTTAAAGCTATAAAACCTACAAAGTCGCTGGGCAGTGGCGGCACACTATTAATCCCAGCACTTGGGAGGCAGAGGCAGGTGGATCTCAGTGAGTTTGAGGTCAGCCTGGTCTACAGAGTGAGTTCCAGGACAGCCAGGACTGTTATATAGAGAAACTGTCTTGAAAAAACAAACAAACAAAAGAACCTACAAACTCAAAACAACTCAGTTTATTTACAAGGCAGGTATGGTGGCCCACACTCCCAGCTCTCAGGAGGCAGAGGTGAAGCCAGCCTGGTCTACAGAGCTAGTTCCAGGACAGCCCAGAGCTACACAGAGGAATCTTGCCTCAAAAAATGATAATAATAAAAATATGGGCCAGTAAGAGAGCTCAGCAGATAAAGGCACTTGCCACCAAGGCTGATGACATGAGTTCTTGCTCTGGGACCCAAACATGTCCCATGGCAATGACCACCCTACACGTACATCATATACACCCACACATAAGCATTTACAAAAATAATAAAGGTAATGTTTAGACATACTTCTTGTTATTCATGTTTTCTATCCAGAATGCCCTCTTCTTTCTATCAGACTAATTTTCTCTCTTCCAAATAAACTTGAGTTCTCAGTAAACTTTTGCCAAGTTCTACTTCACAGTATTCCCTCCAAATTGCCAACTGTATACCTTCATTTTGTTCAATAGATGATCTATTAATAGGGGCATATCTAGATTCTTAACTTGTTTTGAGCCAATAAGATGGCTCAGAGGGTTAAAGCCCTCAACCAAGCCTGACAAGGACCCAGGTGACAGAAGGAGAGTTGTCCTCTGACCTACACACACACACACACACACACACACACACACACACACACACACACGACAAAAAACTTGTCTCTAACCCAGGACTGGGAATAAATATGTTCTCAAAGGCTGGTGATTGGGGGAAATGTTACCTTAAGTCTCTCTCTCTCTATACCTGGTTTGATGAACTTTCCCAGCAACCACTTTTCCTGTGACTTTTTTTTCCTTCCACTCTCTGGACAAAGAATGGAGTTACACACTTGAACGGCAGTTTTATATTGGATCAAGGGCACGTCTATCAAACTCTCCAAACTCTGAAATGGCCCAAACTTCTTTCTGTGTTCTACAATACTGACAGACTTCCTTCCACGGAGCAGTCTGAAAGCTTCCAGTTCCTTATCAGAAGCTGTATTCAACACGTGTAAGATAGAGGCCTGCTGTTCGGGGGTGAAAAGCTTGTCCAGT